TAAATAACACGCCGAACTCTACTCTTTCCACAAATGTCATATTTCGAGCCGAAAAGCCACCGAAATAGCCAAAAGTAAACAAATTCATAATTCCCTATTTTTATTTCATGAAAACGTGTTCAAAGCCATTCGAAATGCAATAATAATATAACATGACGTGCGAACACCGCCGCTTACTCTGTATTTATTATCATGTGGGTGGAAATGCATAATTACTTTACTGTGACACTAAATACGGGGTTTTGAAATTTTTGAAATTTTTTTAAATTTTTTTAAATTTTTTGTTTTGGAAAGAAAATAATTGCCGTTTTATGTCTTGTAAAGAAAGTTCTTGCTATCTCACGGTTTGTAAACAAAGTTATTGTCATTTTATGCCTTGTAAAGAAAGTTATTGCGGTTTTTAGATCTGTAATGAAAGTTCTTGCCATTTTATGTTTTGTAAAGAACGTTTTTGCATTTTTTGGTAAACTAACAAAATTTAGTTTTCTGCAGCCTGCAAGTGCCAAGTTATAAGCTAAATATTATGTTTAGTTTTTGTAAAGAAAGTTTTTGCATTTAAAAAATTATAAATTTTACGTTTTCCTTCGTCAAAAAAGTTACAGTACCCGCTTTCTTTTAAAATTTTTTATACTCTCTCCCCCCTTCTTCAACGCCTCCCCCCCCCCTTCCTCTATCTCTTTCATTACCCTCCGTTAACCCCCTAAACAATTAAGAAACCCACAAGAACTTCTCGGGCCTTAAAAACCCATGCCTTGGTTATGTCCTGAAGGCGCGCAATACCATTATTTTTTATATCCCTTCCTCGGCGAGGATATCACATTCCAGCAGCTAGATTTACTCCAATTTCACGAGTGTCACGAGAATGTTAGGCGACAGGCAATAATAAAGAGGATGGGGTGGGGGAGGGCAGGGGTTAGAAAACTCTTTTGGTTCGAAGAGGAGGGGGGGGGGAGAGGTAAAGATTGAAAAGTTTTAGTAGGTGAGGACATGAGTCAAAAAGTTTTGGTAAGAGGAGGGGAGGGTATGGGTAAAAAAATTTTAGGTAGGTGTGGGGGCGCGGTGGGGTGGGGTATGTATTGGAAAAAATTTGGTATGGGTGGGGTAAGAGATGGGTCAAAAAGTTTTGGCAAGGGTGATGGAAGATATAATTCAAAAAATTTTAGGCAGAGGCGGGGAAGGGTAAGAGAAATTTTTTTTGCTGGAGGTGTGAAATTTGAAACAATTTGTCCTGATTTTAGGTTTTAAGGGTAGGCATGGGCTTGGTAATGAAAAACTTTTGCCTTTATGACACAGTTTGGCTAGGGCGTGGGTTTATACTTAAAAAGGTTAAGTATGAGTATGGCTTTTGCTTGTATGGCATGGGTATGACTTTTTGAATGTTACTAAAGAGGTAACACTTTTTTTATGATAAAACGTGGGTATAGGCTTCAGTAGTAGGGCATGGACAAGGCTTTTTATGGTTAAGGAAACGGTGTTGTCGCTCAAATAGTGAGGAGATAAGTACAAATACTATAGTTTCAAGCAGGCGTAACTTTTTATAATATTGAATAAAGATAACCCAAGGTAAAATACGTACTTGCCTACAACCATTAATAAGTAATGATTTAAAACGAAGTTAACCCTAAAAAACTGTTTTGACAAACAACTTATGCCACTCATAACCAAGTGAAACCAGTTTTCATGTTAACCTAAAATGACAAAATTGCTACGTACTTTTGGCACGTAATTACCCAATTTAGCCAATTCCTGGTTTTTGGTTTTATAAAATATGCCAGTTTTAAAACACTGCAAATTTAAAATCATGTTTTTTTCAAAATTTTTTAGGCTTAAAATGACTTTTTTTAACTTTTTTTTAAATTTTAAGGCATTTTTAAAATTTTTTTTTTCAATATCCACCCCCTACCGAAAAAATAAAATTTACCCCGCCCTTGAAAAAAATGTGAAAAAGTAAGATCAATACTCATGCCAGTTCATAAAATGAAGTAAAACACCAAAAACTCTTTTAAGAACATTAAAAATGAAACGAAAACTTTCAGTTACAGGCCATAAACTTCTTTTTACAATTAAACGCGCCCTTGGCGGTCTCACACTAATTATTCAAAAACCACTAATTAAACACGCCTGACAGTTTTAAATGAGCTTTGAAACTTGAAAAAAATGAACTTTTTAAAACTTTTAAGAGTTATTTTGTCATTTTTTGTGAAAGAGTCCTACCTTGACTAAAATGAATTATTTTTGCTATACCTTTTGGGCCAATAGCATTCTTTGTAGACTTTTTTGAACAAACATATCCCCTTGACTAAAATTGTACCCCAGACCCAGCCAAAGCCCAGAGAACTAATGTTTTAAAGCAAAGGTACCGCTTTGAACAAAATGGCTCTTCAGACCTAGCTAAAGCACTAAAAACGAAAGTACCCACCCTAACCCGCTCAAATTGACTTCAAACTTTTTATACTGGAAAATCATGTACATATAAGACTCGCTTTCCAGTCAATCTCAAAAAGGTCGAGATCAATAAAATAAATTTCCCGCTAAATTAGCATTGTGTTTCAAGCTTATAACTTTCTCATTTTTTGACTTTTAATCATTTTTCTTTGATATTCTAGTAAAATACGTTAAATGGTTCTACATTACTTTAATTTTTAAGCGTAGCTTGTCTGGAAAGTTGACAAAACGTGCTTGGAACATAATGTCAAATTTGCAAAATTGGCGGGAGATTCAAATTCATTTTCTATGATTTTATACTATAAGAATCCTTTAAATCAACTACATTTTAAATTTGTTAGCCTAGCTTGTCTAGAGAGCCCATTAAAAGTTCATAATGCCAAAATTTTCAAATTGGCGGGAAGTTCAAATACTTAAAATTTAAAAGCGCAAGCTAAAATTTTTGATGAGTACTATTGATGGTACAAAGAGTTCATATAAAAAATTTTGAGCTGATTTTGAGGAGGGCAGGTTGTGTACTTTCCTTGTAAGAATTATTATATCTCCCCCTTTTACCCATGCCCATGACTCTTCAAAAAATTTTTCTTTTCAAATCCTTTTACATTTTTTTTTTAAACCGACCACCCTTTTTTAAAATTATTCCCCCCCCCCCTCCTCTTTCAAAAAAACCAAACTACTCTTATTTAAAAATTGTCCCCCCCCCCCCTTATTTTTCAAAAAACCAACCACCCCTCTCACGCGGTTAACGCGCCTTATGATCCAGTCGAGAAAACAAAACCAATTTGGCCAAAGAAAAAGACATTTGGCAAGAATAATTTGTAAAAACTAAAAAAACTGCTCATGTTGGAGAAGCAATTAGCCAAATTTGAGAATATTTGTTTGTTCGGCTCAAGTGCGAAGCGCTTTATGCCAAAGATTATCTTGTTTTATAACGAGGTGTTACATGACACACGGTATTACAGTTTAGTAATATTGTTCAGATAGCAGTTAATGAGGGTTTTGAGTTAATTACAATATTTGTTTTAGTATAGTTGTCATGAGACAAAGAAAATTTTTTTTGGTTTAGAGGTTTAAAAAATTTTAAAACCTAGTCCACCCAACTAAAAAATTAAAAAATTACCACGCCCGTTAAAATTTTTTTATATTACCTCGCCTTAGAAAGATAAATTTAAAACTTTAGCCGGCCATTTAAAAAAATGAAAATTCACCCTGCCCAATAAAAAAAAATTTTAAGAATTACCACACCCTATAAAAAAATATTAAATTACCTCATCTCAGCAAAAAATTTAAAACTTTCCCTGGCTATTTGAAAAAAAATAAAAAACCACCCTGCCCAAAAAAAATTTTTTTTTAAATTACACCACCCAATAAAAAATTGAAGATTACTCCGCCTAAAAAAATTTTTTTGAAAGTACACCTCCTACCCTACTCTCCGGTAAAAAATTTTGAGTTTAATTTACTAGAAAAAATTACCACGCCCAGCAAAAAAAACTTAAAGTTTTTCCTATCTTTCATACAGTTCCATACCACTTACCCCGCATTCCCTTCCGATCATCCTCTTCTTTTTTGACCGGTAAAACGGTCGGAATCGAATCTTGCACAATCCCAATCTTCCTCATTCTCGGCGGACTACGGCCTCGACTGGACGGTGTTGATGGGCGAGTGTCCGAGTTGGCGGCCGTTAACGCCATCATCGACGCCAACTGAACGGCGGACGGCGCTGAGGCCGTGCTGTGATTGCGACGAGTCGCATCGGCGATTGGAAATCGACCGAATATCTCCAGATACGATGAAATTGTGCTGTGATGATGGGTGAGGTGATATGAAGTTGGGTGAATTAACTACAGGAAGGGTTGGGTATTAATATTGTTGTTTATGGTACTCGAGTAACGGAGAGTTTAACAAGGTAATGATCATGTAAAGAGTAAGGCCGAAATAAGGCTAATGTAGAGCTACGGTTAAGTAATAAGGCTAGAACAAAGATAAAGTAAGGCTAGTATAGAGCTAAATCAGTGGTCAAAGATAGCTAGATTTGAACTAAAGCAAGGCTAATATAGTCGTAGGATAGGTTTGGCTCGCGCTAGAGTAAGGCTATGGTAGAACAAGGCAAAGGCTAGTTTAAGGTTTCATGGCAGGGCATTTCCAACCGGTAAATAAACTTCTAATGACCATTATTAAAAAACAAATTTAAAATCTTTTAATACGTAAAAATGTTCATTATGCGTATTTTACAATAACTATGTTAAATAATATATATACAACCTAGTTTAACTATAGAATACAATCTAATTTATCTATAAATATTAAAACAAATCATTTTTACGTGTTTATATACCAGTAACACCAATGCATCTATCTTACTTTTGTACTTATAATCTTCATTATCAATTTTCAAAAATAAATATTAAACACCAACTTCTGTACATTAAGCCACTCAAAAATCAGTCAAAATATAGATTTAAATTTACTGTAATTTATTCAAATCATCTTGAAAAAAAACGTTTTTACGAGTTTTACAGTTTTAAGTCAGACTTAATTTAATTCAAATCCATAAAATGTACTATGATTCCATTGAAATAACCTATGTAAATCCCCAACATTTCTTGGAGCCACGGTTTACAGTGTTTCCTGGACTATATGAGCAGATTTTTCTTTTAGGTAAAGCCGCCTATGTTTGTGATCCGGTTCAGTCTAGAAACTTTATCTTTGTACCATACGGCTCAGAGAAAAAATTGATCGTCTACAGCCTACTTACAATCCCTACCCCCTCTTGTTTTATACTTTTACTTACCCTACCCTACCCTACCCTACCCTACCCTACCCTACCCTACCCTACCCTACCCTACCCTACCTTACCCTACCCTACCCTACCCTACCCTACCCTACCCTACCCCACCCTACCCTACCCTACCCTACCCTACCTTACCCGGCCAGTCCTTAGCCTACTTTATCGTACCTTATCTGCCTTATCTTATTCTACTACCTCATCGTGTCCTACTTTACCCCGGTCTACTCCTACCCTAGCCTGCCCTAACCTGATCTACTTTATCCTACCACCTTTTTCAATACTGTACCCTATCCTACTCGCCCATCCTTTCCAAGAAACTCAACCCTAAGACAACGTACTCGTTTAGTACTACTAGCATTTAAAAATGAAATTTTACACTTTTAAAACCAAATTTAATTTGAAACATTTTGAGTTCAAGCTCCAAAAACCACCCCTTAAATTGACATATATTTGTTGTAAAAATAAGGCGGTTTTGCTGAAGCAGCCGGCTTCCTCTTTATGCGTACCCTGAGGCATGGATTATATTACGGGTAATAAAAAACCTATGAAAATACTTTATTGCCGCTTCTGAAATTGTCAATTTGTTTGTGGCGTGAAAAACGCACACACAATGTGACGTGCTTTAGATTGAGCCAGGATTCGTATATTAAAGAATAGGTATCAACAAGCTTAGCCTCAGCTCCAGACTGAGCTTGAGCCTGAACCTGCGCCTGAGCCTAAACGTGAGCTTGAGTCTAAAACTGAGCTTCAGCTTGAGCCTGAGCCTGAGCTTGAGCTTGAGCCTAAGCCTGAGCCTGAGCCTGAGCCTGAGCCTGAGCCTGAGCCTGAGCCTGAGCCTGAGCTTGAACCTGAGCCTGAGCCTGAGCCTGAGCCTGAGCCTGAGCCTTTGCCTGTGCCTGAGCCTAAGCCTGAGGCTGAGCCTCAACCTTACCCACAACTTCAACCTCAACCTCAGCTCCTTCAGACTTAATCTTTCGTGAAACGCTAGTCCTAGTCTACTACGCCTTACCAAAACCCCGCTTCAGTACAATCCAAATTACTTTCAAATGTAACCTACGCACCCCTATAAAAAATGCTGACATAGTCTTCCATTTTCACCTGACCCAAGAAAAAAGAAGCAAAATCAAAATTCGCATACCGAGCGTGAAATACCGTGGCGGCACGGCGTGCTAAGGCCATATAACATTTATGAGATGTTTAATATTTTAGCGCTGGGAAAAGGGTTAATTGCTGCTTTTAACGCTATTAACAAATAACATTAGTCTGTTCGGATCTGAGGTCAGTTTGGAAAGTGGGAGAGTGGTGGTTGGTCAACCTTAAAAAAATTATTTTTAAAATTAAAATTTAAAAAAAAAATTTTTTTTTTTTCAAAATTGTGTATCTACCCCAAAAATTTCTACCTGTCTGCTATGACAAATACAAAACGCTTTTTTTGCCATGCCCAGTAAGAAAACCAAAGATTTTTGTGAAGAACGCCAGCTGTTCGAGCAAAATCTTGTTTTTTACATGCAAACATGTTATTGAGACTTCCAAATGGAGCTTTGCGTAAATGATAAATAGTGTTTAAAAACATTCCTTTTAAAAATATTTTGTCAAAAACAGTCCATTCAATCATGAAAAACTTTGATTTTTTAAAAATTACCCCTTACATAGCAAAGAAATATACAAGAAAATGCCTTACCCTACACATAAATATCCTACTCTAATCAAAACTACCCTATCTACTAAGAAAAAACCCTACCCTACCACAAAACACCCTACCCTACTAAAATATACCTATATTGTTATGGAATACCCTGCCTTTTTTAAAAAATACCAATGCCTAATACAGGGGCGGGCGGGGACTTTTGGTCTGGGGGTTAAAAAAATCGGCACAGGTGCCAACTTTTTTAAATTTTTTTTTCTGGGGGGGGGGATTTCCTCTTATTATGATAAAAATAACCTACTGGACTAACAAATATCCTACCTTAATGAAGAATGCCTTGCCCTGTTAAAAAAAAGGTATATCTTAAAAAGAAATATTCTACCGTGCTTTGATATACCATTCCCTACCTTAGCAAAACATTCTCTACTTAAGCCTCGGAGTCAGACTCAGACTAAGGCTAAAACAAAAACTAAGCCCAAAGCCAAAGCTCACGCTAAGATTAAGGCTAACCCTAAAGCTAAGGCTAATTTTCTCGTAGTCCAAAATTAGCATATCCCTTCCACCCCACAAAACTTCCCTTCCAGAATTGAAGCCCTCGAAAAGGCGGTTATCCGGAACTCTCATTCAAGCACAGTGGAGTCAGAACGTTCCGTAATTTCCGTTCCTTTATTTTCGGCCCCAAACAGCGTTTCTGAATGGGGCTTCGAACTGTTTGCAAGTCAGCTCAATTTCGTCATTCTAATTGCAATTACTTTCTCGTGGGCTGAAGGGTTAATAGCATCAGCGGCGGATATTGTAGTAGGGATAAAAAATGTAAAAAAAGTTTTTTTGTGTTTTAAACTAATCGATAATGCTATTAACCGTTTTATGTTAATTTCACGCCTATAAAAAATCGTCTGTTTCTTTATTCAATTACTAGCACGGGTCTAGCAGTGACGTTAGAACAACATAAAAGCTATTTGGTACAGTGTGAGTCTACGCCTGAACTTAAGCCAAAATCTGAGCAGTTTTGAAAAGTGTAATCCACCTCCTAAAAAATACTATAAGCTTTTGAAAAAACCATCTTGCCGTGCCGTACAAACTTCTCCGCTCTCTTCTCACCCCGCCAAAACCAAAAGCCTCTTCATATTATAAAAGTACCCTATCCAGCAATATCACCATATCTATTCGCTTGATAACAAAACCGCCCCTCAGCTTTAACTACTTTTACAGAGTAACCCCAGCTTAATATGAATATTAATAGTGTTACACTTTGTTTATTACGACAGCTTCTTGATCGCTTTCTGTAATGAAACCTTGCCAAATAGTACCTGGGTAAGCTGATAACCTGGTTCGAAGGACAAGTTTGAACCAGTCTCTTGAGCGTCATACCAAAAGACAAGTTTGAACCAGTCCCTTGAATGTCAGACTAAACACATTTTACTGTATATTCCAAAATCTTATAATCCCCTAAAATCTATCCCACATCCCCATCATAACATGTACAAGTACATGTCTTGGCAAGCAAATCTATCCAAAAAGCGAAATTGCATATTTTTGGCCGAATAAACGATCCGAAATTGTTTTGTTTTTCGCTTCCAAAAACATGAAAAATAACATTCTGGGGCCACCAAAACGTACACAAGTAGTTTACCTTTACCTGAGTAATTGCGCCTTACCTTAAATTTTTATTGTTTTTAAAAGGGCGTGGGCATGGTAGGGTAATAAATGGGTTTTAGGGTGGGTGCGGCACTATGAAGAAAAAAAATTTTGAAAAAAGGGGGTGGGGTGGGGAAGACGAGGGGAGGGGGGGGTTTGAGGAGGGGAGAGCAGGAGTAGAAGAGTGCCTTGGTGTCTTAATAGTCATCTAAAAATTACTCTTCCCTATCGAAAACACCCTGCCTAACCATAAGTTTTTCTACTCTCCCTCAGATTACCCTGCCTTATCAAAAAGCGCCTTATTATATCAAAAAATACCCTGCCGTGTCATAATTGCCCTTCCCTATCATAAATTACCGTGCTTTTCCTAAGAATGCCCTTAATCACAATTTACTTTGCCCTATCAAAAAGATCCTTACTTTACATAAAAGTACCACGTTTTATAAAAAAGCACACCGCCTTATAAAAAAATACCCCGCCTTATAAAAAAACACTGCCTTATAAAAAATACCCCGTACTATAAAAAAATACCACACCCTATAAAAAAATACCTTGTCTTATAAAAAACTACCACACCCTTTAAAAAAAACCCCGCCTTATAAAAAAATACTCCGCCCAATAAAAAAATACCCCGCCTTATAAAAAAATATCCCACCCTTTAAGAAAATACCCCGCCATACAAAAAAAATACCCTGCCCTACAGAAAAATACCTCGTCCTATATTAACCTTAGCGTTCAAATTTAGCCTTAGCCACATAACCTGAGCCTTGCCCCCTTCCCTCTCCCACTACCAAAAGCTACATTTTTTGCCTACGAGTACACCCAGTAGTATCAAAGTGAAGAAAAAGCATAAATGATTAGAACATAGAGCAAACAAATCGAGTACAAATCTAATTTGCTGTTTCTTTTCCCATAAAATTATTTACGGCGGAACAGAGAAACGTAATGTCATCGTTCGTAGTACGACGCTTTTTGGCACTCGTTGTAAGCAGGGTGGGGGATGAGGAAGCAAATTAAAAAATGGTTCGTCATAACGAGTATTAAAAATTAAAGTTCAGAAGGTACAGTACTCAGACTAATTGCTAACACTAGCTCAGAGCCCTAGCCCAGAGCCCTAGCCTAGAGCCCTAGTCCAGAGTCCTAGCCCAAAGCTCTAGCCCAGAGCCCTAACCCAAAGCTCTAGCCTAGAGCCCTAGTCCACATCCCTAGCCTACAGCGCTAGACCAAAGCCCTAACCCAGAGCCCTATCCAGAGCACTAGCCCAAAGCCATAGCCCACATCCCTAGTCCAGAGCCCTAGCCAGAGCCCTAGCCCAAAGCCCTAGTCATAGTCCTAACAAAGGCTCTAGACAGCCCTAGCCCTGCCAGAAGCTTTAGACTTAGCTCTAGCTCTATCAGATGCACTAGCCTTAGCCTTAACTCTAGTAGAGACCCTAGACGCAGCTCTGGCTTTAGCATAGTCACTCGACTTAGCCCTAACTCTAATACATGCACTAGGTGTAGCCCTAGCCTTAGCAGAAGCCCTAGACACAGCACTGGCTTTAGCAGAGGCTCTGGACTTAGTCCTAACTCTAGCAGAGACTCTAGCCTTATCCCTAGTCCAAGCCAACGTTTTTTAAAACAATTTTTAAACCCCCCTCCCCCCTCTCATTTGACCCAACATAACCTTCCCCTCTGCCTAAATAACCCTCACCTTTTCCCCATGCCTTTCCGACTCTAACCGACCAAGAATCGCTTCAAAAGCCCGAAAGTTCCAAAAATGTCGCGGTTTCTCCAAAAATATTTAAATGTAGGCTTATTTTACAGTTTAGGACATTAAAAGTGCAAAAGCTTTTGAATTTTGCAGTTTTGCAAAAGGGGCATAAATTATGTTTTTTTTAACATAAGTGTAACTAATGAGTACCAAAATAAGATCTCTTTCTAACTTTTAACCTTGGCTTTATGCTATATGTATATAAAAAAGAATATTTGAGCTCAGCCAATGTCCAAGTATAAAAAATGTAAGACAACCTTAAGACTAAGCTTAAGTTCAAATTTATTATAAGCCATACTTTATAATACAATAAGCTTAGGCCATCCTGAGCTTAAGCCTGAGCTTAAGCCTGAGACTAAGCCTAAGCCTGAGCCTGAGCCTAAGCCTGAGCCTGAGCCTGAGCCTGAGCCTGAGCCTGAGCCTGAGCCTGAGCCTGAGCCTGAGCCTGAGCCTGAGCCTGAGCCTGAGCCTGAGCCTGAGCCTGAGCCTGAGCCTGAGCCTGAGCCTGAGCCTGAGCCTGAGTCTGAGACTGAGCCTGAGCCTGAGCCTGAACCAGGACCTGAACTTGAGCCTGAGTCTAATTAAAAAACCCGTCCAACCCCGCATATACGTATAAAATTGATAAACGTGCACCCATTACTCTGTAATTTACAATTACCGAAACATTAAGGCGATTTGTTTCAGCGCGGCCAAATTTGTTTGCATTTTTAATTCACACATTCTCCGTGGCCTTAAATTATTCACGGCGAAACGGCCGAATGTGCTAGAATTAATTAAAATAAACATTTGGGAAGCACATGGTAAGCGGTCGGTACTTTAACGAGTTGGGTATTTTTAGGTACTATATAGTACTATTAGTACCAGCCTTGACTTTGGCCTCATCCTTAGCCTTAGCTTTAGCCTTCAGCCTTCAGCCATAGCCATAAACATAGCCTTAGCGTTAGCCATAGCCAAAACCTTAGCCTTAGCTTCAGATATAATCTAAACATATCATTGAACCAAAGCACTACATAGTACTGAATAGCACGAGCAACAAAATTTCCTTGTTTTACAAAAAAAAGTTCTTCTACCTATTTCCTACCCTATATTACCCACTGCTGTCTTGTATGTCACTCTATGTACCATGAAAATACAATCTGAGCCAGAGTCAAAGCTTCAGCCAAAGCTTCAGCTTGAGCCTGTGATTGAGCCTACTCTTGTTACAAAAAAGATATAAAAACTACAGTTTGCTATTGAATTAAGTACTAGTTACAATAAAAAAACCACTAAAACAATATAAAAAATAGAGTTTCTTAAAATACCAACACCTAATGTAATTTATGTTGTTAGCACTTCCCCTCAGTAAGTTGAATAAATTTACATTGTAAATTAACTACTGCATGTTGTAGTTATGTCAGATATTATAAAACAGTGTAAAGAATAAGAAAGAGGCATATCAAGGAAGTTGTACACAAAACATAAAATACAGTGGCACCTCCGGATAAAAAACTTCTATATAACAAAACCTTTATATAACGAACAAATTTTTAATCCCCGGCTATCATTAAATTGTGCATTTATTAGACTGAATCAAAAGTAGCGAGACACTTTTAATTGTAAAATAAATGGAAAATGTCCCGCTACTTTTAGTCTAACATAATAATATCTCTCTATAACGAAACATCCTCATAACGAAAAAATTTAAAGCCTCAAGCGATTCGTTATACAGAGGTTTAACTGTAGTTTATTTAAAAACTCATACCACAAACCGTACCACCGTATTTTACAAAAAATTAAAATTTTAGACATCCCAACCTCATTTTCATAACAAAGCAAAGCAAAATGTTGAATTTACAAAACTAGTCATAAATTTTAAGATAATACATATTTTTTTACAAAAAAAAACTCTTGCAACCGCTCAAAAGGCTATGCCATTTACGTTTCACTTCCTAATGTGACTTAATTTATTATTTCTATTCAAAAATTTTGTTGCTATGATAAAATATCATCAAATTTTTTAAAAGTTTTTTCGAAATTAATTTTTGACCTTCGCCCTTTCTTAATATCTTAATCTCAATTTTAATCTCATTCATACAGTGGAACTCCTCTATAACGAATCGCTCGGGGACTTGAAAATTGTTCGTTATAAAGGAGTTTCGTTATACAGGAGTTTTAAATGCACTGTGTAGTGGTAGTCGGGGATTAAAAATTTGTTCGTTATACGGGAGTTTCGTTATAGAGGAGTTTGTTATACAGGAGTTCCACTGTACTTATAAGCATATTTCAAAAAAATTTACTCTATCATTTTATTATGGTCAAGATATAGGCTTTATATAGGTTGAACCAAAAGTAGCGGGACATTTTTTAGTTGAAAATTAAATATAAAGTGTCCCGCTAATTTTGGTTAAACCTAATATAACAAGTTTTTTAAAACTAAAACTAAAAAATTTAAAAAAAAACCGTCCCCCACCTCTAAAAAAATAAAAATTTTAAAAATAATCAACCCTTAACTTTCAAAAAAAAACAGATATTTCTGTCCTGTTCCTGGTCAAAATTACAATTACAAGCTATTTTTAAATATATTGTGATGGCTTTCATTTGTCAAGAATTTGGAACCCAAAAACAGACAAACAAACAAGACCATAACAATCTCAGATATTGCTTTATGGTGTATATTAACATTAAAAAAACCACTTTCTTTGAGGTACGTATTGTCATATGATGACTTTATTGTTTTTTATGTAGAGTAAGTAGACTTGAAAGACGGCTTACAAGGCTCAACCCGGTTTCGGTCAGCTTCAGCAAGCTCAGCCCAGCTCCAGTTTGGCTGCGACTTAGCTTAATCCGAGTCCGAACCGAGCCAAAACAAATTTGAAAAAAACTCAAATTGAAAAAAAGTAAAAAAAATTAGGTTTATTGTTACCTAAAATATCATTATTTTCTATAAAAAGCCAATTTTTAACTTATAAAACCCGATTTTAGAGCGTGCAGCCTGCGAGTGACAAGTTATACGATGAACCTTTTAATTTTAACGAACTTTTGTGAATCATATTTTGCCTTGTTTCCAGTGCGTTTTAAATACATTATAAGCCTTTTAAAATTTTTTTAATTAAAAAAAAAAATTATTTTTAAAATTAATTTTTTTGATTTTTGAAATTTTTTAAAATTTCCAAAAAAAAATTTTTTAAATTTTAAAAAATCAAAATTTTTACAAACTACAACAACTTACCTTCCAACTCTTGTACAGTACAAAAGTACAGCAATATTACTTCAAAATACAGTAGAAAAATTAAAAATACAGTAATCCAACCTCAAAGTACCGTAGAAAGAAAAACAATACAGTAATCTCACTTAAAAGACTGTAGAAAAAACAAAACTTTAGTAAAAACTTTCAAAGTACAGTAGAAATCTCTCAAAATACGGTAGAGACCCTCAAAATACAGTAGCGCTGACCAATATAAACCTTAATCCACCTCAATCCAACCAATGTTTTAGTGTCGGAACGGCGGCAAGCAAAGGTCCAAACCGTTCCAAAACGCAATAAAAAGTTCTCAAAAAGTTTCAGTTTCAGGGGCAAACAAACGGTTAGCCTAGTCTAACGTCGGAAACCCAAATCCAACACGAAACATATTCATATACATATATATAAACGTGCGTTTATATATACTACGCATATGTTTATTAACCTTTGAATGTTTTAGGTAACATGAGGTTTGTTTTGCCATTATTTATGTTTGGTATGATACAAATAGGGTATGACACTATTCTTAGAGTGTTTATACGTAAAATGTCATATTTATTGAAAATATTAGCTGCCGACATAAAGAACTCACTATTTTTTACAGGAAATTACAGGAAAAGTATGTCGGGTCCTTTATGTCGGCACCCAGTGTTTTGCCGGACCGGTCCGGTCCGGACCGGATTTTCAAAAATTGCAAGATTGAAAATAACTTTTTAGCTTATGGTTTGAAGTTTTAAAAAATAAATAACTTTTGTGAAGGTCCGTCTTTGGTTATCGAGTTATTACCGAGATGGACCGCCCGGACCGGCAAGACCCATTCGGTCCGGCCGGTCCAAATGTTTGGCGAGGAACTTGTATGAGACGGACCTTCACAAAAGTTATTTATTTTGTAAAACTTCAAACCATAAGCTTAAAAGTTATTTTCAATCTTGCAATTTTTGAAAATCCGGACCAGACCGGACCCGGTCCGGCAAAACACTGGCGGCACCTAATAGTTGCAAAAAATTTAAACAAGTTGCATTAACACCCTTTGAGTGTAAAAAAAATACAGTAGTACCCTAAAAAATATACAAACTAAACGCTAAAACACCGTTTTTTAGGCTTTGCAGCCTGCAAGTGACAAGTTATACGATGAAACATTTCCCGCCAACAAAAAAATTAATAAATTAAAACAGACTATTTTGGATGGCCGTATTTTACATTATCATATGCTTGTTAACACATTTTTCTAAAAGTAACTAGTTTGCAGCATGCTTTTGACAAGTTATACGATGAAACATTTCCCGCAAACAAAAAATTAATAAAATAAAAAGCAACTTCTTTGAGAGCCCGTATTTTACATTACCAAACTAAATCGTACTTTACATTACTACACTTTTCAAATACATTTTTCTAAAAGTAACTAATCTGCAGCCTGCAGCTGACAAGTTATACAATGAAACATATCCCGTTTTTAAAGGTAGGCTATTTAAACCAAATTTTTGTAAAAAAGATAGTTCAAGACGTATTTTACATATTTTTATGGTACTCTATCCTATTCTTCGCCTGTGTTTCCAAAACTTATATTTCTTATCTGTCAGCGACAAGTTATACGATGAAATATGTACAACTAAAATTAAAAAAACAAAAAGAAGTAATGTAAAATACGTAAATTATACCTATTCTCACCAGTTTAAAAAAAATGTTATGCAGTATGATTAAAATACAATATGTTAACCACTTATATTTTAAAAAAAAAAATTTCAAAAAAAAATTTCAAATTTCAAAAAAATTTAAATTTTAAAAAACTGTAAACCAACCTATTCGATCATTGTTCTGGCTGTTGAAGAAGGCTTTGCTGAGCTTGCGCACTATAAATGAAGAGTTTTGAATGCTTTCCTTCAAGGCCATCAGAGTTCGAGGCTCTCTGGCCTCGTCGTCAGTCTCGACGAATAAACTTTGAATGTAGCTCAAATCCATCATTACTTGACTTATAGGACCGATTCACAATATTTTGTGTAGTTTTAGATACTCTTGCAAAATATTGAAAATTTCATCAAATTTTGATAGTATGATACTAAATAGTACGAGGTCACTTGTATTATATAGTACTAAATATAGAGTACTAAAAAGTACTATATTGTCTTTGAATTTAGTAAAAAATAAAAAAAATTGAATCCTGGGAGTATGGTACTATATAGTACAATATTGTTGTAATGTTGTGAATTGGCTTCTCTAGGTCATTGTAATAGGTAAGGTAGGTCTAATTGTTCGCTTTTTAGCAGCAAAATATCATTTTCTAAAATTAAATTTGTGTATAATCGAAAAAATTTTAACGTACTCGGATAGTACGATGCAAAAAAAGCAACCAAAGGTCAATTAAAAAATTTTATAGTCAAGTAAAATAATAGTTCAATTCAAAATAATACCTAAATTTTTACCTCTGCTTAATCAAGCCCAGCCAAGTCCAAACCAAGCCGCAGCCAAGGCCCAGACAAAGCCCAGCAAAAGGCAATTCTAGCTTACATTATTCTACACTACTATGCCCTACCCCATCATCCCTCTCCCCCCCCTTTTTTATAAAAGCAATACTCTCTCCTACTGTAAAACCTAATTCCAACCCCAAAATTAAGCCAAAGAACCCCCGCAAACCCCCAAACCCTCACACCAAAAGTCGAAAAACCCACGATCCATGCCTTCGAGGCGGTTTGTTTCATTTGGCTAATGTTAGCCAAGTGCAATTAACTGAACAAAATTGCTTGGAAAGTGTAAATTTTCAAACAGTTTTCGTTTCGAAAAACACTTTCCCTACACACTCAAAGATCCGACACAATGCGGCCATAATTATTTTTGGGTAAATTTTTTCTTTGGTCTGTTTTTTGTGAATAAAACCACTCTTTTTCGAATTTGAATAGGATTAAAATGCGGAACTTTTTGAGGAAAATGGCCAAACAAGCAATGAAAAACGACAAAATTGGGTAAATATTTACATTTTTGCCCTTTACACCAATTTAACAACTACATATCATAACAAAAATTGAGTTTTTAGCCAAAAAAAAAATTTTAAAACCCTTAAAAATATTTTTTAAATTCGTTTTTAAATTCATTCTATTCAAAAAAACCAAAAACTAAAGTCGACCCTGACAGGACTCGAACCTGCAATCTTCGGATCCGAAGTCCGACGCGTTATCCATTACGCCACAAGGCCACGCCTTAAGAACTCTTGTTTTCTCTCCAAACAAAAGGTCCTTCGAGAACGTTGGGAAACAGGCTACTTCTTAAAGTTTTTACATGTAGTCCCATGAGATATTAGAAAATATTTACCCTGTTTTGTGTTTTTTGCTTCTGATGTTTATAATATTTGGCAGAACTTACAAAAAGTCGAAAAAATCTTTTTTGAATGAAAAAATATTTTAAAAAAATAAAAATAAAAAAAAATGTTCATTGAAAATGGCAATTCGGAAACAGTTAATCCCAAAAAACCTTTAAAAAAAATAAAATTCAGGCAAAAAACTAACAAATTCTAACGTTAAATGGCAGGAGACCCGATATTCTTACCAATATCTTGTAACCCACGCCACAGGAAATGGACTCAAAGAAGTTTGGCAAACATTGAATTTTGATTAAAAACTCCTACAAAAAGGAAAAAAACTATTCTGGCTGTACCCTTACTAGTTCCTTACCCTACCCTCGCGTTACTCTTAGTATATACTTGTCCTACCCTACTTTTAACCTACCTTACTTTTCTCCTCTACCCTACCCTTAGATCACCCTTGCCACAGCCTACCATACATTGCTCTTTCCTTACGCCTGCTTTACCCTTGCCCTACCTTTGCTCTCTTTACTTCACTATACAAGCCCTTTTCAAAACCTACCAATCCGTCTTTGCCAGTTTTACCTCACATTTTACCTCAAACTAAAGCATTCCTTCAAAAACCCTATGCTAAACGTTCAGTACAAGCAAATTTTATTCGAAGCCATGAAACTTTGACCTTTTGAAGACGGAAACACGATAAAATTTTTTGTTGTCATAGACAAATGCCAGCCCGTTCTTTCTCTATGATTTATATTATTATACCGTAAAAAGTAGGGGTTTGCAGGGTGTATTAGTACTTTGGGGTTAAGTATGACGTAAAATTAAAAAAAAAAACAAATAAAAAAAATTTTAATTTTCAAATTTTCAAAAAATGCAAAAAAAATTTTAAATTTTAAAAAATTGAAATTTTTATAAAAATAAAAAAAGGTTTGAAATTTATTCGACGCTTTGGTATTTATATGCCCTACCCTAAATTTTTCACACTTTATCCTGCCCAACACGCTTGTCATTTACAACACACCCCTTATCCTTCTAAAGGAATTTACTACGTACTCCTCTTCTGTCTACCCCGCAATCTGCACCCTCCCCTTTTTCTACCCTCTCCCCCCCCTCCCCCTTTCTACCGTCCCCCCCCTCCCCCCCCTCCTATCATTCTTCCTTCCCCCCCCTCCCTCTTTCTTCAAAACTGTAAAAGGCTTCGAACAAACTTATTATTTGGCCAATGTTCCCAATGTCTACTAAGAAGCGAGGAGAAAACTGCTCAGTGTATTTACATTTACAAAAAAAAAACCGTGGCTTTTCACTTGGCAAAAGCGGCAAAATCTAATATATTACATATATAAGTGAATTTCCTTTCTTTGTCAGGCTACTTTCGACCGAAAAAAGTTTGTTTGCGTTCGTGCAAGGACACTTTTTAGCATAGTATATATTTAGAGTTAGGTAAGTCAAGAGTGATGTGCCATTGTTTTACCATACTACTTTTGAGCTATAGTATCTGTAATGCAGCCCTAACTTTAGCCAAAGCCTTATCTTTAGCGTTATCTCTATCTAACCCTAGTCCTAGCCCAGAGCCGTAGCCTTAACCCAGAGCCCTAGCCCTAGCCCTAGCCCTAGCCCTAGCCCTAGCCCTAGCCCTAGCCCTAGCCCTAGCCCTAGCCCTAGCCCTAGCCCTAGCCCTAGCCCTAGCCCCGCGCCTTAGCCTTGCGCCTTAGCCCCGTGCTTTATTTTGAGCCCCAGCCTGTGCCCTCGCTCAGAACCATAGCCCAGAGCCCTAGCTCTAAACCTAGAAAAATAGCCAGACCAAACAGGAAAAAAAGCTTGCCCGAACGGTCCAAGCAGAAAACTGTCTTTCTTAATTTAAACGAAAGCTGAAATATTCAAAAAATCATAAAATTCCACATCCCCCCTCTACACTTCCATCCAAAAAAACTCCTCCCCAACACTTGTGTGGCAGATTAACCATGTTAAAAAGCAAAACCGAAACAAAGTCTCAACCCGTCATGAAATATCTATCTCCCCAAACACATTATTCTCTCCTCGGAGCCGGGCTTCATGTTAAATATTTCTTGTTTCAAAAATGGAGATGAACGACATCCATCAACTTCAATCTGCAGCTTCTTTGTTTTTTTATTGGGTTAGGTTAGTTTAGCTACTTGAATAACATTTAGGGCTTTTTAAACGTACCAATGGATATTGGGTGTATCCTGTTTTAAGAAGAAGGTGCCCGACGGCATATTTCGATCTATATCATGTCTAGTTCAGGGCAAGAGCAGAGCATATTCTGAGCTAGATTAGGACAAAGGCAGAGCATAAGTAGGATAAGGTTAAAGCTGGAGTAAGGCTAATCAGGTAAGTACTCAACCTGCCTCGCTCTGATTGACTTCAAACTTTTTATATAAAACAATCATGTAAATATAAGATACTCAGCGAAGTACTAAATCGCGCTTTGCTGCTAATCTCGAGAAAGTCGTGACCAAAAAATGAATTTTTGGAATTCCCGCCAAATTGACGTTGTGTTTCAAGCTTATAACTTTGTCATTTTTTGACTTTTAATAATTTTTTTAATACATTAGTAGAAAACCTTTAAATGGACCTGCATTTTTAAATTTGTAAAAGTAGCTTGTCTGGAAAGTCAAAAAAGTGCTTGCAACACAATGCCAAAGTTGGGAAGTTAACGGGAGCTTCGAGTATTTATAATTTAAAATTTAAAAGCGCAAGCTAAAATTTTTTATGAGTTCTACTGGTAGTACAAATAACTCATAAAAAATTTTGAGCTGATTCTGAGCGGGTCAGGGTGGGTAGTGCCATTGTAACTTTAAAATTAAGTGTTATTAGGACGATAGCATAAATAAAGTTTTTGAAAAATTGTGCGCCTTTTATTTTGACGTATTTTACCATACCTTATATTGAGCCAGTTCACAACTTTAATATTGTATTCATTTACTTTCAAGCCTTTTTTATTAGCGTGTAATTTTTTAAAAATTTTTAAATTTTTTAAACGCAAAGCATTTTTTATTATTTTTTTAAAATTTTTTGAAATAAATAATTTTTAGTTTTTTCGTTGCAAAAGTAATTTTTTTTTTAATTTTTTGAAAAATTTTGCAAAATTTACCTTATAAGCCAATTTTTTTTTCTTGTTTCCCTAAAAACCAAAAATCAAAACAGTTACACTTACAAGGTGACGTAATGCTCTCCAACCCATGTGGTCGTTTCACTTCCATCCCCTCCTCCACCGCCTTCTCCTCGTCCGTGAACATTTTCACGGTCTCCGGATTGGGCTTCATCTGCGCTTCCAACAACGAAATCGCCTGCCTCGCCACACTCGGATCGTTGATCAAACTCATCGCACTCGCATTCACCACCCCGAACGGCGGTATGTTGGTCTGTATGTGTTGGTCCAACAAATTCGACGCGGTTTTGGCACGACGTGGCTTGCGGAATGAGCAACAGAAGCGCATGTCCTTGCGCAGCAGGCTCGGCCTTAATGGCGACGAGTGCGTGGAGCCCGTGCTCTCGTTCCCATCGGACCGTTCGTTCGGCTGTTTACCGGCCTTCACCGCTAATTCAACCAATGAGTTGGTGCGGCGTGCCAGCGCCGCTTTCTTCCGCTGAATTAGCGAGCCTTTGGGATCGTCAGCGATATTGTCGTACGGGGGTTTGTCTTTGGCTTCTGAATTGTTTTAAAAAACGTTAATTTGATATGGGTTTTGGGGGGTTGAGTGAGGCGGTTTTGCGACATAAATGAGTTTTTTAGCATTTTTTTTAAATTCGCTACTCCACTGCTCCACAACTTACTATGCTTTTTGTCATCAAAAAGATTGTCTTTACTTCCATTTGGCCCCAAATTCATAAACATTCCATCATAGCCAGGCATCGGTGCCAACGGCCCATGCTTCGTCTTCACCAACGTTTGCCACAACGAATTCGAGGAACTCATCAACGCCGCCGACGTAGACCCTCGTCGATTAATAAAGGCCCCATTCTGTGGGACGGGCGGTCGATTCTTCCCCGACTTTCGAAACGATCCCTTCCGCCCGCGTTCGCCGTTCTCTTTACCCGTTCGACCGTGCTCTTTTGTCGTCGCGGCCCGTATCACTGAGCCGGACATGGCGGCTATATTCAAAGACGTCGCTAAAGGACTGGTCTTGATTGTGGTTGGGGAAAGGATCGATGGTCGATCCGTTACCGTGCTGGTTTTGCGACCTTTGGACGGTTTTTGGGTACCACGTTGGGGAGAGTTTGGTACTGATGACATGTTTGGTGACTAACCGTTACAAAAATTGAGCAATGTGGTGAGGTAACATGTTTTTACGTTACTGTAAAACGCAAATAAAAGCCTCTAAATGATGAAGGGATTAACGTGAGTTGGAGTTTCAAAGCAATAAAGTTAAATCGGTTATGAAAGGACAATCGGACATAGTAAGTGGAAGTTGATATAAAATAATATCAAAGTAAAGCCTGAGGATGTTACTACTACTAATACTTCCACCACTACCAAGTAAAGTCGGAGGACGTTACTACTACTACTGCTGCTATGGCTACTACCACCACTACTAATATGTAAATTTGGAAGATGCTGCTACTACTACTACTACTGCCACTACTACTATTATATAAAGTCGGACGATGTTACTACTACTACTATCCCTCCTACCACAGAGTTCGTGTTTCACATACGTTTCATGACATAATTTTTAAGCCCAAAACCAAAAAAACCACTTTTGCCAAAAAACTCCTCTAAAATTATTCACCGTTCCAGAACGTGCTCACGAACGGTCCCCAAACATTTCCGTTTTCAATTAAAATACGACGACAATGAAAATGTTTAGACGTTTTAAATTGCCAAAAGTGTGTGTAAAATTAGGTCGCCTTTCCATTGTTGTTAATGTATTCATTTATGGAGCGACATAAACGAAGTTATGGTTAATATAAACGCAATTTACATGCAGAAATGATGTCGTTGCGGGAGTGCAAATTACAGTTTTTTTGATTTTTATAGTATTATAGTAGTAAAAAAAGCTAGGCAAAAACTTAGAAGTGACGGTTTTTTTTATTTTCGAAAGATGGTGTTGATGCAGTAAGTTTACAAAGCGTAAAATGGTAATAACTTTTCTTACAAAACATAAAACAGCAATAAGTTTCTTCACAAGGTTTAAAATGACCAAAAATTTGTTTACAAAATTAAAAATGGCAAGAAATTTCTTTACAAAACAGAAGATTGCAAGAACTTTCTTTATAAGACCAAAACTGCAAGAATTTTCTTTACAAAACATAAAATGGCAAGAACTTTCTTTACAAAACATAAATTTTCTTTAAAAAGCATAAACCCCGAAAGACATGTACTATTAACGTGAGCATCGTGCACGGTTGCAGTACGTATAAATGAAAAACAATTACACAAAGAACAAACAAGGATTAGCTAATAGTGTTTGATGAAGGGCGAATTTCCAAAATTTAAACTTAAAAAAACAACTTCTAAGTTATTCTGCAAACTTTTTTTTTGTATCATACGCTTTATAGATCTATCCTATACTAAAGTAGCCTACCCTATCTTACCCTACTCAATCAAACCCGACCCTACCCTGATCTATCCTACCTGAACTTATGACTTACCCTACTCTACCCTAGTACCGCCTAATCATGTTTTTAAACTTTATTTTAAAAATAATTGTTTTACTACAAGATCTATTATATATTACTTTTAAAAAAGCTATATTATCCTTAAAAAAGCCCCAGCCCTCAACAAAAACTTCCAGAAATCCGCTCAATGTAATATCCCAGCCGTTAAACGCATATTCGAATTGGAAAGTCAAATTCGAAATGTTTTTCCTTCCAGAAAAATGTTGGATTTGGTTTTTGAATTTTGCCTAATTCTCGCTTTTCTCCACATTTCGGGAAGTGTTGGGCGACGATCGTTCAATTAGTAAACGTTTGTGAAAAGTCATTGACTGAAAGCGATTTTGGGGTAAACAAAATCAAATCACAGTAAGAAACCCTACCCTACCCTACCTTATCCTACCCTACCCTACCCTATCCTAGACTACCCTAACCTACCCTACCCTACCCTACCCTACCCTACCCTACCCTACCCTACCCTACCCTACCCTACCCTACCCTACCCTACCCTACCCTACCCTACCCTACCCTAGACTACCCTACCCTACCCTACCCTACCCTACCTTACCCTGCCCTACCCTACCCGTAGTTCCTCCTTCCTCTACTCTCTCTGTACCCTTTTTATACTCTTGACCTACCCTACTTCTTCCTCACCCCTCTACGCTACCTTACCCGACCCTACCTTACCCTATCCTACCTTACCTTACATTACCCTACCCTACCTTACTCTACACTAGCCTAGCCTACCCTAATCTACCCTACCCTACCCTACCCTACCCTACCCTACCCTACCCTACCCTACCCTACCCTACCCTACCCTACCCTACCCTACCCTACCCTACCCTATCCTAGACTACCCTACCCTACCCTACCCTACCCTACCTTACCCTGCCCTACCCTACCCTACCCTACCCTACCCTACCCTACCCTACCCTAGACTACCCTACCCTACCCTACCCTACCCTACCTTACCCTGCCCTACCCTACCCGTAGTTCCTCCTTCCTCTACTCTCTCTGTACCCTTTTTATACTCTTGACCTACCCTACTTCTTCCTCACCCCTCTACGCTACCTTACCCGACCCTACCTTACCCTATCCTACCTTACCTTACCCTACCCTACCCTACCTTACTCTACACTAGCCTAGCCTACCCTAATCTACCCTACCCTACCCTACCCTACCCTACCCTACCCTACCCTACCCTACCCTGCCCTACCCTACCCTACCCTACCCTACCCTACCCGTAGTTCCTCCTTCCTCTACTCTCTCTGTACCCTTTTTATACTCTTGACCTACCCTACTTCTTCCTCACCCCTGTCCTACCCTTGCCCTACGCAGGTCCTGCCCTGTTCTTACTCTTGACCTATCCTACTTCTTTACTCTACCCTTGCCTTACCCTTGGCATATCCTTGCCTACACTTTCTTTTCCTCACCCCTGCCCTACCCTCGCCCTGCTCTTGACCTACCTACATCCCTACTATCCTACTCTACCCTATTTTACTTAGCCCATGTTTTTCTTTTTTTTTTCTTTTACTTTTCCCTCTACATTTTCAAACACCAATCCATCCCTCCCCTCAAAAAAATACCCCAGCCCAAAACACCCTACTCAAAATCACGCACCCGTCATTTTATTCGCCCTTTGTCATTCCCTTAAAAAACTTCCAAAAACAACCTTTTTTCAGTGCCAAAACCTAAATTTAAATTTTGTCACATTACCTGTCTTAATCGTGAATTCAGAAAAAATTTCCGTCCAGCTTCATCCGGCTGTCAGTCAAGTTTGAAAAACCCCATTGGCTCTGTTTTTGGCGGCCCCCAAGTTTTTTTTGTCCACACAAACAATACCCGAAATAAAAAATACCCAAAAAAATTCGAACCAAAATGGGATATGTGATATGTAATCTTGGGCCGACTTGCCCGTTTAACGGCCTTCAGGAGGCGTTTTTGATTAAAAAGGAGTTGTAAGGGTGGTTTTCAAACTGCATTTATGAGGTTTATAAAAAGTAGTAAGTTTGAAAAGAATGACACTAACTTAGGAAATGTAATTATAAAAAGCGGAGTTTTAAAAATTTGAAATAAAAACACTTTACGGCAGTCAAAGGCACGGCTAAGATGTCAGGGTTATGGCAAAAGGCTGGTTTAGTACGGGGAAAGTGTAGGGTAAAGGAGGGTAACGCAGAGCAAATTTAAATTAATGGTAAGGAAATGTTAAGGGAAGATGAAGCTGAGAAGAGCAACGGATAAGACAATGGTGGGTAAGAGTAAAGCAAGGACAAAGAAATGATAGGGTAGGGGTAAGAAAAAGGGTGGGGGAAAGAAAAAAGCTAAGAGCAGAGCAAGGGTAAAACAATGAAAAAACAAGTGTATGGCAAGGCAAAGCAATGGTAGGGTAAGAGTAAGGCAACGATGAGCAAGAAGAAGCCAAGAGCAGAGCAAGGGTAAGGCAAGAGTAAGATTAGAGTAAGGCAAAAGTAAAGAATACGTCAAGAGTAAGACAAGAGTAATGCAAGGGTAGGGCAACAGTAGGGTAAGTGTAAGGCGAAAGACAGACAAGAACTAAGCTAGGAGCGGGTAGAGATAAAAAAGCGTAAGGCAAGGGTAAAGCAACAGGAAAAATAAGCAAAGATAGGTCAAAAGTAAAGTTTAGGTCCGTTTACCTTCACGTTTTTTAACACATCTCCTTTCAACCTTTTCCTCCCTCCCCCACCCCTGGCTCCTTTTCTAACACTACTATCTCATTTTCTAAAAAATACTATTTGTTCACAAACCGAAATCATCAGCTTTCTCTTTACTATAAGCTTTTTATATCTGCCCTCCTCTAAATTAACAGTTCTACAGTGATGCAATTACCGTCAACTATACTACAAAAATAAGAACACTGTACTTATCATTCAATTGAAACAAAACACAAAAAAAATAAATTTAAGGAAAATCTATTCAATTTTTAGTGACAAAACTAAAAAGACACATATAAATTTCAATTATGTGTTCTGCGAATTAGTAGATTAAGCCAAAAACAAACTTCATATTTTCTCTTCTTGCTATTTAGATAAGAAGTCATTAAATTCACACATTAATAACAAATGCTTTCAGGCGTTTTTGGTCATAAAAATTTGAAAAATTTTCAAATTTTACAAAAAACACATTTTTTCAGCACGGTGCTATATAGTACCAAAAAATTATTTTGGTACTATTTAGTACGAAAAACTTTTGATACTATATAGTACGTGTAGAATAATTTTAATCTCAAACTAACAAATTGACCGCCGTCACCATACTTTGTATTTTACATTCTTCTTAAGTGCTATTTAATACAGAAGAACTGTTGGTACTATATAGTACGGAAAATGTTTTTGATACTAAATAGTACGTGTAAATTATTTTAATCTCAAACTAAAAAAGTTGCAGATATTATAAAACCACGTATTTTACATTCCTCCCTCGTACTATACAGTACCGCACTAAAATTTAAATTTGAAAAAATTACTGCGAAATTGCAAATATTACAATAGAAAAGCCCCTCGTACTCATAAGCCCGCCGCATGAGAAAAATGTGAAAAAACGGAAGCAACAACGGAAAATAATGTCATAAAAAGACGACATTACCCTTATGATGCGAGCAATAAACAGAAAAATGAAAAAAAGACACTAAAATATTAAATATGTTAACGTGCAATTCTTGGAGACGTAAAATGGCACTTTTTAAAGGTGCATGTACATATGTATAAGAAATGAAAAGATATTTGGAAGAATAGCTCAGGCTATGACAGACGTACTGAAGTACGATTTAGGTACATCTAGGAAAGGTACAAGTAGGCTTGAGTATAGGCGTGAGCTATAATATATAAACCTGAAATTAAGAATAAGGCTAAGGCTCAAGCTCAGGCTTAGGCTCAGGCTAAGGCTCAGGCTCAGGCTCAAGCTTAGGTTCATGCTAAAGCAAAAATTATGGCTAAGAATAGTTAGAGCTAAAGTTATCTCTGGCTCAAGCTGACTGAAAAGTAGTCGGTTTGGAAGCCAAGTCTAGCGAAAATACAAAACAAATTTATAAAACTAATTACACCAAATTGTCTCAAAAACCAACTGCCAAAAACTCAATTTCGGCAATTGTAACATAATTAAAATCAAAAAAAGACACTATTTTAAAGTGCAGTACTATAAAGAACACAATTTAAAAAACGTCATGGTTATTATAACTACAATTTATATAAGTAAAAGTTAAAAACAAAAGTTCAAGCTTTAGCTGGAGTACGTTTTTTAATATCATCAGTTTTGTCTAGACCAGGTTTTGGTACTAGTGTTACTAATTTTTAATATAGGCATCTAAGGCGTAAGGCAAAAACTAAGGACAATGCTACAGTCAAAGACACGGCTATACTTAAGGCTAACTCAAAGGGTAGAACTAGTCTTATGACAAACCCAGATTTACCCTATATGACGACGGCTTTACTAGATGATCTATTATTAAACAGTCGACGAAAAGAGTTATAAAAACGACTGAAACACAGCCCACGGCAAACATTCTTTCCCCAAAGTGCACAAGTATGTGCATAAACAATTGTAAACGTTCCTATTGCCAGCTGTTTTAGGTAAAATGGTCAAAATTGAAGTTAAAAACAAAAAAATATATAATTGAAAATGCTGTAGTTAGTATAAAAACTTTATTGTATAAGGCAGGGGTAGAGAATAAGGGTAAAACAAGAGTAGGGCAAGAGTAGACCAAGGATAGAGCAAAATTAAGAAAAGGGTACGGCAAGGGTAGAAAAAGGCGAAGCAAGGATAGGGTAAGGGCAGGGTAAGATCGCAGCCAAATGTAAACCAAGCGTAGACCAAAGACAAAAAAACGTAAGGCAAGGATAGAACAAGGCTTGGGCAAGGGTATCGCAAGGATAGGGCAAAGGCAGGTAAATGGTATCGCAAGGATAGGACAAAGGCAGGTAAAGGGTAGAGCAAAAGTAGGCCGAGGTCAAGGCAAGAGTATAGCCAGGGTAGAACAAGTGCAAGGCAAAAGGAAGCCTCACACTAGTCTTACTATAACCATATCCATACCTATACTCTAGTTGTTGTCAATTCAAATACAGGTTTATCGCAAGACATTTACCACGATATTCTTATTTTAACCTATATAAACTTAACTCTAGCTCTAGCCTGACATTTGGTTTAGACTTGCTTTAACAATACTTTAGCCTAACTCTCCTTAGCTTTATCATAGCACTGTACCACTAAATTTTGAATCAAAACGTAAACCTTGTGAATCTAAACACTAAGTTATAAGTTGCAGTTGCTAATGATACTATCATACACTGCATATTTATAAGCTTTCATAAGTTAATCCAAAAAGATTTAGGTAATCTCTGCCTATAAAAACAACTATGGGTTACACTGTGGCAATTTAGAGATTATACTTTTCAAAATATTATACATGCAAAATTTAGAAAAGTCAAAACTTTTGATTAAAATGGCTTTTTTCTGAAAAAAAAATTTTTTAATTTTTTTAAGTTATATTATCACGAGTACTATATAGCTCAAAAAGTCATGCTATACAACAAGGCGTTAACAATTGGTACTATATAGTAAGTGGTCCAAGAAATAGGATAAATTTGTACTATATAGTACGTGTGATAAAAATTATTATAAATTGGTACTATATAGTACGTGGCACAATAAATAGGTTGAGTTGGTACTATATAGTACGTAACACAAAAAATGCAACAAGTTTTGCAAAAGAATATACTATACGACCCAATACAATTAGAGCATAAAGATAAACGACTATTTTCGCCTTTATTCGGAGAGAATTCAAACATTTGAGTTCCTGTTAAACCCTCGTTAAAGACAATGCATTAACAATAAGCTGAATATAAGACGCACAAGATAAACAAGTTTACAGAAAAGAATGGCAGAGAAGAATTGTTATCATTTGAAAAATAGAGTTGTAATGAAATGTCCAATAGTAATAGCTTAATAGAGCTAGGGCAAAGCGAAGGTAAAGCTAAGTTTTGGCTAGAGTAAGACTAGACTGCGAGTAGGGCAAAGCAAGGAAAAGATCAAGATAGAGCTAGGGCAAATTAAAAGTAAATCTAAGTTTCGACTGAAGTAGGGGTAGACTACAATTAGAGCAGGAAAAATAAGAGTAGACTATGAGTGAGGCAGAGCAATTTGTGCTATACTATGAGTAGGATAGGGTAAGTAGGAGTAGACTATGAGCCAAGAAAGGCAAGTAGGACTACAATATGAGTAAGACAGAGCAATTAAATCTATACTATGAATAAGTTAGGGCATATAAGAATATAACATGAGTTGAATCGGGCAAGTAGAACTATACCATGAGTAACGTAGAGCCACTATGGCTACATCACACGTAAGGTAAGGAAAGTAGAACTTTATTATGGGTAAGGCAATGCAAATTAGACTATACTATGAGTAGAATAGGGCGACTAGGACTTGAATATGAGTAGTGTAGACCAAGTAAAACTAAGCTATGGGTAAGATAAGGCAAGTACAACTGAACTATGAGTAGGGTCGTGTCAAGAAAAGATCAAGACAGAGTTATTGCGGAGTGTGAGTAAGGCTAGGACGAGAAGGAGGGGGGGGGGAAAGAAAATTTTCAAAAAAAAATTTTTTTAAATTTTAAATTCATTTGCCTTTGTTAAACTAAAATACGCAAAAAAAAAGTTTTTTTTATTTACTTCCCCCCCCTCCCTACATATCAATATCATCCCTCATTTAGTCTCACCTGTGCCTCTTCGTCGTGAAAAAAGTTTGTTTAACAGAACAGTACTCCCACCCTCTACCTCACTTCTTCATTACCAAACTCTACTTACAATACCTTACGGTAACCTACTCTGCTTACAGTACTCCCTCTACACTTTCCTTCTTTGCCTACGGTAATGTATCGAAACCCATCATATTCTAACTCTTCTAAACATACCACCGATATGTTCTCAAAATAATTTTCTCAAACTTGACGAGAATCCCAACATTAATTCGTAATGAGGCCACGAGAGTCTGAAGCATATGCACGAAAAATTAGAATAATTAATGGCGCAGATTTCTTTTCAGGATTACGGACGAACATGTTCACACCGTTGTTCACCCCTATGTACGAGAGTGTATAAGGGGGTTGTTATTTTTGCATATAAGATGGTTTAATTTGATGTGGTTGTTAATGTAATCGTATTAGTGATATTCAGTAGATTGAGAAAAATTTAAGTGATTTTGGAAAACAGTTGAACTACCAGCACAACACTATAATAGAGATAAAGTTAGCTAAGAGTAAGGTTAAGAAAAAGACGTCGCAAGAATATGGTAGTGCTATAGTAGGGCTATGGTAAAACAAACATACCCAGTATGAGTAGGAAAAACTATAGTTAAAACCACGCCACAATAAAGCTAGGCCAGGCCTACTAAGACTTGGGCAAGAGCAAAATAAGGCTAGAGTTAGGATTTTATTTGGCTAAGACAGAGTTAGCGTAAGGCTGGTACAAAACACGCAGCTACACGTTAGAAGATGGTTATGGTAGAACTAGAGTAAAGCCAGGTAAAGCAACCATTTGTAGTTAAAGCAAAGGTAAGAGAAGACTTGAACATAAATAGGTTAAAACTGAAGCTAGAACAAAGTCAAGCTAGCGCTACGGTAAGACAACGGTTAGGCATGAGTAAGGCTAGAGTTTAGCTAAGATAGAGAGCTATGGTGGAACAACAGTAAGGCTGAGTAAAGCTGTTTTACAACAAAGCTAACAACTGATTAAGATAAGGCAAAGAAAACGTTATATTAAGGTAACGGTAAGACTAAGGCATGGTTAGAGTAAAGCTAAAATATGGCTAGAGTTGAGCTAGCAAAAAAAAGATTAAAGAAAGGTCAATACAAAAAGTTAGATAGGCCTCATTAAAAAATACAACAAAAGTTTTTTTATTAAATCTCAGCCAAACTTTTTTGACTATACGTCACCATGTTCCATTTACATCCATAATAAAAACAAAAAAAAAACAATAAAATTCAGAATTGAATTTTGGAAAAATCTCTGAATGCTTGCGTTTAAAAGATATTTTTCGTTTTATCCTTGACTGAATCCTAATTAAGTCAAGTAATGTTGTTTTGAGCCAAAATAACAACACAATGTACACACATACAAGCCTATATAAACTTACAGGTCATTCCAGGATCGGTTTTTCGAATATTCGTGGCGGACGACGCGATCATGTCCACCCATGACATTTTTCGACCCTAAAACCATTAAAATATAATTAAATTTGAAATCGAATTATAAGGAGTAATTGTTAATTTGAAGACAAAAACAGAGAGTAATTTGAAAGATGCGCGGCCCAGATTACACAGCGGGCCGAAGGAAGACAGAGTAGATTAAACAAATTTGTTCGCTTTTTGATTATACTAAATGGGTTCCAGAGTAAAAGTTAGCATATGTTAGCTGTTCTTGCACAAAAGGTTGCCCTAGTCTTAGCCTAATTGTAAGCTCAGAGTCCTAGCCCAAAGCCCTAGACTAGAGCTTTAGCCCAAAGCCCTAGACTAAATTTAGCCCAAAGCACTAGCTCAAAGCCTTAACCCTAAAACTCTGGCCTTAGAACCCTTGTTCCAAAGCCCTAGTCACAGAGCCCAATCTCTAAAGCTCTAACACAGAACCTTATCCCAGATCTCTAAACCAGGGCTCTAGCTCTAGCTCTAGCTCTAACTCTAGCTCTAGCTCTAGCTCTAGCTCTAGCTCTAGCTCTAGCTCTAGCTCTAGCTCTAGCTCTAGCTCTAGCTCTAGCTCTAGCTCTAGCTCTAGCTCTAGCTCTAGCTCTAGCTCTAGCTCTAGCTCTAGTTCTAGCTCTAGCTCTAACTCTAGCTCTAGCTCTAGCTCTAACTGTAGCTCACGTTCTAGCTCTAGCTCTAATTACATCCTAGTCCGCCCCGTCACGTAAAAAATTTTTTAAGAAGTGCTATTTTACTACATTACCCAGCCGCATATTAACTTTGTCATAACTTCTAAACTTTGCTAAATGTTTTGACAAGTCCTAAGCCAAGTTCTAGCCGCAGCCCTACACGCATGCTCTAATTTATCCTATCCTTACAAATTTGTTACGCTTTAGTTATAAAAAATCAATTTTTGTCTTATCGCAACCTTAATTTAGTGATACATCATAATACTTTAAAGACAATTCTCCAAAACGTGTGATGTTCGACCTACCTCTTCATTTGTAGTCATTTTGTAAATTAATACACACAATAGAAAATAATCTTTCAGATACAAAAAATCTCTTTATTTTACTTGGCTTTCAGTAAATACACGTACATACGACTGTGTATGGCTGTAAAATGTAAAAATGTAAATGATTATTGAAGATGCGATAAAGGTAGTGCATTATGTACTACATGCTAAACGAATGTTTAAGTACTACTACACTATAATACACTTAAATGTACAAATGATATTTATCTAAACCCTCAAAAAAGTCTTGTCGTTTTTTCAATACAACTTTCGTTATAAAAAACGACAAAACTTTTCTATTAGTTTGTTCAAATAATTCTGTGCCCCTAAATTCAAAAACATGCTTTAAAAAGAAGCACGGAATTATGTGAACAACCTGCTACATAATTTAATATCAAGTTAAATTTACTATGGTAATCTCAGTACATACCGTACTTAACCTCCTTTTTCACGATAAAAAATTTTTTTTTGCAAAAATATGGCCATAACAACATTAACCAGACTCAATACATTGTTTGTGTCATCATATGAATAGCGTTATATGATTGTCTGCGCAGTGAAACGAAAGGAATTGGCGCTGGTAATGCATATTAACATAGGTAACAAATAGAGACTATTTCATAGTAGATTTTAAAATGGTTTTTAGTGTTCATGGAATATTGAGGTATAATTTGAGTTAGTTTTTGGTTTTTTAGGTTATGGAAGTAAAAAATGGTATGGCAAAAACCTTTTTTTTTTAAGTAATATGCATAAAGCCTACAATAATATAGTTTAAGCATTCTTAAAAACTTGCAAAGAACTAAAAAAAGCAAAGAACAAAGTAAAAAAGTGTAGCTAAAGTAAGTTTGATTTGCTATAAATTTTAAATTTTAATTTTGAAAACTCAAGAAGAAACACTACACAAGCTTAGATAAGTCTTACTCTATTTACTTTAATCTAGCGCTATCTTAACCTTTAAAATTTTGTCTTATTTCAGCCCTGTCTTTACCCTAATCTAGCCTTATCCTATGCTCATTCTTCAACCAATAGCCTTAAAAGAACCTTACCTATTTTTTACTTTTAAGGGGGGGGGGAGAATTGAAAAGTTCCTGTTCGGCCCTGACTATATTGGTAAAATACGGATAATTCAGACGCACCATTTATATACATAAAAAATATAAAAACTTACAAAATCAAAATCCAAGAACAGCCCGGTATCAGCATCGAAATAGTCGTCCACATCTTCACTGTCCGAGTCTGGAATGGCTGCCGCGCTTTTTCGTTTTGCTCTTCCGAAATTCATCTTGTTGTCTTATAGTTGGTCACGGTTTTAGAAAAAACGATGTAGATAATATTTGTAGAGTAGTAACAACATTGTTTAACAGAAAACTTGAAAAAACAAAAAAAAGTAAAACAAGGTTGGTCTTGATAAGCTTACTGTAGAACTTGTCGTTATGGCCTGAAAAATGAGTTAAAAGTGCATTGTACAAAAATGATATATAACACGTACTACACTTCTTAAAAATACAAGTTTCATACATTATTCACGTATTATTTTTAAAACTTTACAGATGGAATTTTAAACATATACCGTAGGCGAAAAAACATTTAAAAAAATACTCTAAAAACATTACCACTCTACCCTACCCTACCCTACCCTACCTTACCCTACCATACCCTACTCTACCCTACCCTACCCTACCCTACCCTACCCTACCCCTACCCTACCCTACCCTACCCTACCCTACCCTACCCTACCCTACCCTACCCTACCCTACCCTACCCTACCCTACCCTACCCTACCCTACCCTACCCTACCCTACCCTACCCTACCCTACCCTACCCTACCCTACCCTACCCTATCCTACCCTACCTTACCCTACCCTACCCTACCCTACCCTACCCTACCCTACCCTACCTACATTATACTACTCGACCATGCCTTACCCTGCCTTAAACCGCCTTGTCCCACTTTGATTTTTCTATCCTTACTCTGCTTTACCCTGCCTGGTCTTACTCTGCCCTACCCTACGCTGCATTTTCCTACCCTACCTTTACATTCAGTTTAAAAAATTGCTTTTAAAATTGAAAACGTTCCTAACGTTCCAAAATGTAACAAAGATTATACTAAACCGCAACCTTTACTCTGTATATTTGTAAAACGTAACACGCAATTGTGCAAATGTCAACCTAATCTTAATAATACCCCAAAAACTGCAAAGTGTTTTGTCATCATAGAGCGTGGTAAAGTTATGTTTCGTCCTTAACGGCCACCGGGCTTTTTTATGACAGTTAGAATCAAGCCGGAGAACAATAATTTAATTTCACGGATGCATCTCAAATGAGTTTGGCAAAATACTTTTTTGAGGAAAAATCTTGAAGGTCAAAGAATATTAAATCAACATGGAAACGGTGTGGATATAGGCAATATGTCAATAACATAGTTTTAGCCTAAGCCTTGAGAGTGTGCCTAAGCCTGAGAGTGAGCCTAAGCCTGAGTTTAAGCATAGGTTTGTCCCTGGGCCTGTGCCTGAGCCATGGCCAAAGCCAAGTCTAAAGCCAGAGCCAGAGCCTGAGCCTAAGCCTGAGCCTGAGCCTGAACCAGAGCCAGAGCCTGAGCCTGAGCCTGAGCCTGAGCCTGAGCTTGAGCCTGAGCCTGAGCCTGAGCCTGAGCTTGAGCTTGAGCCTGAGCCTGAGCCAGAGCCTGAGCCTGAGCCTGAGCCTGAGCTTGAGCCTGAGCCTGAGCCTGAGCCTGAGCCTGAGCCTGAGCCTGAGCCTGAGCCTGAACCTGAGCCTGAGCCAAAGCATGAGCCTGAGCCTGAGCCTAAGCCTGAGCCTGAGCTTGAGCCTGAGCCTGAGCCTGAGCCTGAGCTTGAGCTTGAGCCTGAGCCTGAGCCCGAGCTTGAGCTTGAGCCTGAGCCTGAGCTTGAGCTTGAGCCTGAGCCTGAGCCTGAGCCTGAGCCTGAGCCTGAGCCTGAGCCTGAGCCTGAGCCTGAATCTGAGCCTGAGCTTGAGCCTGAGCCTGAGCCTGAGCCTGAGCCTGAGCCTGAGCCTGAGCCTGAGCCTGAGCCTGAGCTTGAGCTTGAGCCTGAGCATGAGCATGAGCATGAGCCTGAGCCTAAGGCTGAGCCTGAGGCTGAGCTTGAGCCTAAGCCTAAGCCTGAGGTTGTGTCTAAGATTAAACATGAACTTTAGCTTTATATTTACAAGTATCTAAATATAAATACAAGTATACAATATAAACAACTTTAATACCAAAGTTTCAAAAAGCCCTTACAATGTTAGTACAAAAAGCTGTCCTGTATTACAATCTGGCAGGTGTGTCATTTCCAAAACATATGCGTTATCCGCTTACACATACGAGTTATGTGTAATGTGCATTTTGAAAGTTGAGGGATTTTGGATTAAAACGCGGAATTTTTACTTTAAAAACGATTTTCATTTTCTAACGGCCATAAAGTGTAATTTTAGCTGACAATTGTAAATTTTGGTATATGTAAATATATTTACGGTTATATATCAATAACATAACTGTATACCAAAGTATAAAAATATACGTAAAACAAGATGTCATAAATACAAAATAAGTTCTTGGGTTCCGGATTTACTTTGGCCTGAAATAAAAGGAAAACGTTATTTTCTAAGCTGGAACAGTAAACAAATTCGTAGATTTAAAAACATGTTCAGGGAATCAGGTAAGCATTAAAGCCCACAACAAACTATTGGCTTGAAATAATAAGGTCCTACCCTACCCTACCCTACCCTACATACCCTGAGATTGTCTTTTATAATACTCTAGCTTTATTTTAAGTCATACCATTTCTAGCTTTATACCTTCCTGAAGACGTTTAATATTCTTCTAATTCATCTCATGCTGTCCAGTCTCCTCCTTCAGCAACATAGGAAGCATACAAAACTTTTTAAGTACATATACCCTACAAACATCTTATACCGCACTTTGAAAAATCTAAAAAAAGATTACTTTAAGTTATTAAATTTGAAAACGTTTACATTTTATAACGTTATTTTAAAAATAACAGCCAAAAGTGACAAAACGTAATGCCAAAAAACACAATTTTTGAGTATTTTACGAAATATGCGGTACAAATTGAAGTAATAAATGCCGTCGTTTGGCTAATAACATTTATTTGTAACTTGATATTTGTTGGGTTTGCACAATAAACAGGATGTTTTAACGTGGTTTTATAACATAACACTAAATATTATACCAATATCATATTAAAAAAGGCATGTGGAGCGGGCTTAGGCAAGGTGATTTTTAATTGGGATGGAAAGAAAACTAGAGTTTAAGCTAACATAAAGCTTAGGCTAGGGCTTAGGCTAAAGCTTAGGCTAGGGCTTAAGATAGGGTTTAGGCTAGGACTTAGTCTAAGGCTTAGGCTAGGGCTTAGACTAGGGCTTAGTTTAAAGCTTAAGCTACAGCTTAAAATAGGGCTTAAGCTAGGGCTTAAGCTAGAGCTTAGGCTAGGGTTTAAGCTAAGGCTTAGGCTAGGGTGTAAGCTAAAGTTTTTTTAAGGCTAAATTAAACAAACTAAATCAAAAAAACCAAAAAATATTTTTAAAAATTAGGCTACCCTCTTCCCTTTGTTTTTTCCAGCCCTTGTTTACCCCGCCCTCAACCCGAATCACCACCTCTTGTTCACCTCGCCCCGCCATTCTCCCAAGCTCCCTTCTCTGTTATACTGCGCCCTGTTCAAGAACAAATAGTGCCTTTACCTAGCCTAGAAGGTTAAATGCCGTTTGTTGTTAATGAAAGGGCTAAAATGTATTTTAAAAATAAAATTAAACTTTTTTCGAAAAAATTAAATTTCCATAAATTTCATTAAAAATATGTTTTTAATATTCCTTGTCATAAACAAACTCCTTTACTTAACACACTCTAAACTTTTGTTCCCACGCCCTCCCACAATCTGACGAAACGTAATTTACCACGCCCAGATTACCATCTCATACAAAACGGCATTTTAACAAATTAAACCACATAAAAGGCTTGGAAATGCATTTGAAACAGCACTCGTCGTAAGCGAGAACAGATAATTTGGGGAGGCCGTCACTCAGGCCTCGTCTTTAAAGATGTCATGACTTTTATTTTATTGGCCTATTTTTTAAAACCCAAGTTTTGTACCGACGTTCACATTGGCCTATGGAGCGTGAATTGCGTGGTGGCTGCTGTGGTAGACGTTGTGGAACGTCAATTGGCCAAGATTTACGTCAATTTGGACTTGTAAATAATATTTTTGATAAAAGTAAAGGTCATTTATGATGATTAATAATAAAAACGTGATTTTAGGTAACATTATTTACAATTTATTCAAAAACTAACAAAATTTTAAAAAATTGAAAGATCCATTAATTATATCATTTCAATTTTGTTAATACAATACTATTTTTTATTACCAAATATGCCTAAACTCACAGCTCCAGTTCAACTAGTTCATCTATAAAAAGAACCCGCAGCCTGCACGGTCTTCAAAAGCCAGTCCGTTTACATCGGCCGCAGCAGAAACAAAAAAATATTCATTTTGAAGAAAATTGAAGACAAAAACAAGATTTTGGATCAAAAGAAGACACCAAGTCGTAATAAGAACGAAATATGATGGTAGTATGATGAATATAATGTGGAAAACGCTTTTTACTAGTTGGAATTGGTCTAATGTAAGTTATTTTTGTTGTTTTTTTGTGATTTTAGGCTTGGAAATGACAGAATAATACGGATAAGATAAAGAAAAAGAGCCAGGATAAACGTTTTTACATTTAAAAAGCAATAAAGATGTTTTGAACTGAACATTACGTTGTTATTTTAGTTGTTTTTTGTGATTTTAGGCTTGGAGGTGAATGAATAACATGGATAAGATAACGTAAAAGCTGAGGATGGATGTTGTTGATGTGGTAAATCTTGTCGTACTTTTAGGAATACTTGTGTGCTTAACGGATAATCATGGTATAAAAAGGAAGAAAAGTCAGGCAATTGCGCAGGATATGAAGTAACGGTAGGCATGTTATGTTTGGTTGTTCACTTTTAGGTATGAATTTGAAGTTACAAGTGAAAGTAAGTTGAGTGTAAAGAAAAATTTTATTGTTTGATCTTGTGAACTGAAGTTGGAAGGTAAAGGAATCAGGATTCTATTTGATATTATGATAGGCAATAAGAAAGTTACTCTTGTTTTGTAACTTTTAGGTAAGAAATTAAAACTAGGATAGGACAAAAGGTGTTTTGAAAGTTGAATAGGCTTGTATGAAGGTGTAATGGTAAGTTTTAGGAGTTTAAACGGGTTATTTTTGGGTGGGGTCAAATTTTATATTATCATAGGCAATTTATTTGAAATTTAGGTGGAAATATTGGTTCTTCATTGAAATTTAGCTTTAAATATGGTTCTCTATGCTGATAGAATGTTATATTAACATGAAAAGAGAATCTTCTCTGATTCTTTTACATTTAAATGTTGTTACAATGACGTTTTTCTAGTTTTTGTACTGTTTCTACCTGGAAAAAAAAGTCCGAAGTCGGACTCTGGATGCCATTTTATTTTTATTTGTTGCTACTATTTAATTAAGGTTGTTTTATCTTTATTGTTTTCTACAATATAATTTGACTTTCTATTTAAATGGTTTGGTTTTGGTCGTGCTAACAGGTATTTTCTTTCCTCCATTCATTCCAATTCTCTGTTTTCTCTTCTTCCTCTGTAACTTTTGCCTGTTCGACAGTGGAATCTTGCTAGCCTTATTACTCACGTCAGATCCACTGGTTGTGTCCAATCTTATCTTGTATTCATCTGGTATTATCGTCTTTGTATTACTGATCTGAATTGTTTTCTTTTTCAAAATCCGTGGATTTGACAGATTGTGTGTCTTCACCGAATTATTGTCGTCTGATATTTGGTTTGGCAAACAGTAATCGGGTTGGTAAGCTGAAGGCATCATTGCTGGTACTATTGATGGTACATCTTTTGGGTCTTGAATGCTTGGTTCGTGGTAGTAGGGTTGAATTGGCGGTGGTCGATATTGACCGTTTGGGCCGCGGATTTGAAGGCCTTCGGTTGTGGCTACGAGGGTTAGGACACGGTCAGATGTGTGGGAGTCTTCTACTGAAAAAAGAAGGTATAAATTTTGGTTTTTAATCACAAGCGTTGGTTTTTGAGCCTATTGTATAATATTATTGTTAAGCCAAAAGATAATTTTTAAACTTTGAGGCTTGTTATTAAGCCTAAAATTTCATTTTTAAGCTTAAAGTTTTATTTTTAACCTGAAAATTTAATTTTCAATCCACTTACACATATCCTTGTCTCTGTCATCTCTAGCCCAATTTCCATAAGAAGCACTGGTTGATCTTCTGCAAAAAACCAAATTGACCAGCTTTACCCATATGTCGCGACAGAAACAATAGATCAAAATAGTGACGGTAAATGGGTAGAACATCATTAGAAATGTTATCATTGTGTCTACATCTTGAGATACTTGTAGTTCATCGGCGTTTGCCAACAGCTCAGCACTGTTTCTGATTTGATAGTAAAAGTTTAGTACGAGGTATGGACCGTTTAGTAGTATGTAGGCTACGAAGATGAAGATGATTAATCGTGTCATTGTCATATAGTCTTCTAGAGCTCTGGATTCCATTATGAAGGCTCCGTAGTCCTAAAAGAATTTTATGTTTGTCAGTTGGAAGGATTGTTCTTTGTATTATTATGCTTAAGGCTTAGAATTAGAATTAGTTGGCTTAAGATTACTAGGGTTAGGCTCAGTAGGCCTAGGCTTGCCGTGCTTATGTTAGTAAGAGCCCAGTTTGAGTTAATAAACACTGTAAATTACGGCTGACAAAGAAACGATTACTCGCAGTAAAATAGAGCAATATCCCAGCACTTGCAGTCATTTGTTGGATCGTTTTACGTCGAGGCAAATGTTATATAAATCGTAAATGTTACATAAGAAAAAGTTGCGTAATACGATTTCTTGCAATTTCTCTAAGGCTATTTAGTGTGGACCCAACATTAAGCAAGACTTCGGAAATGTTACTCAACCTTTCATTGTTGTAATACTTTTTGAAAACGAAGCATCACCGCTAAGGGCTGAGGCTTAGTAGGCTTGGTCTTAGTAAGCTCAGGCCCATTAGACTAGTCTTAGTTGATTTAGGCTTAACTTTAGCGGACTCAGGCTTCTTACAACTTTTCAGGCATTAGGAATAGGTAGCTTCTGACTTGGCATGCTTATTCTTACGCTTGGCAGGCTTTTTACACTTAGGCTTAGTAAGCTGAATCATAATATGCTCCATCCCAATATGCTTAGCTATATTACTTACCTGTGGCTTAGCCGGTAAAGTTCTAGTACCAGCAATGAACCTTCTATACCGTATGATAGCACAAAAACATATAGTAATAACGAAAACGCATCCACAGTATATAATCATTTGTACGATAGCGTATGGCATTGGAGTATTAGTACCAATAGCGCAAATGTACCGGTATGGAAATGGCACCACTTTGAATTCGTCGAATAGTGCTGGAGCTGCGAAACACAAAGATATTGCGGTAAATAATAGGGAGAGGCAGAAGGCATACCTTCTGGTCAGTAGTAATCGACCACTAGTTGTAAGGCCTAATGCTCTTTCAACTGCCATTAACATGATGACAAAGAAGGATTGAAGAAATACGAACTGAAATGATATAACAAAGATATATGTATGTATAATAAGAAAAACCAAAATAAAAAATGTTTTGAAATTAATGAAATTTTAAAAAAGGCCTTGACATTAGAACTTACTTCCTGAGCCGTAGCATTGAGCTTGCAAACAAGTTCACCAAAAACCCAATTGTTGTTGGCTACGTAGAGTAGCGATACAAACATTACAAATATTGACTCTATCAAGTTCAATATGCCAAGTTGAACAAAGATTAGGTAGAGAAGGTTGGTTCGAAGCTTGTAGCTAAAAAAATATTAATCATAACGATTTTTTTGTTTTGCTCTTGCTATTCTACTTAATCTTATTCCAATTCGTTCACTTTACCTTACCATACCGTGGCATTTTTTGTCAACTCACCTGGCTCACGTTACCCTGTCTTACCTAGACTTGTAAAGGGGTGGATTCAAATTTTCTACGTGTCGGCCCCCTTTCAGGTCTAACCTTACCTGATTTTATAGGCTCTTTTCCATATCCCTACCGTACCTTGTTTATCTCAATTTTCTTTACCATATCCCACATTTAGTTGACTCCCACCCTCTTTCTTTACCCCTTCCTTACCTAGCCGAAATCGTAGCGACCAAGAACAAATTTGAGAAAAAAGTGACCAACAATAGAACTGTTAACAATATAGCAGTAGTAGTGGTCAAACTGGTCGAGGTTTTCTCTCTCATTGCTATGTCAGCAATTGTGTCGCCATACTCGACGTATAATATAGGCGGTGTGGTTGACATAATGTCTAAAAATGTGTATTTTAGCTACTTTAAAGTATCACTCGACAATAGCACTCGATTTAACTTTTAATACTTGGTTTGACGATAAAAATAATACTGAATTGTTCACTAAACTACGATTCTAGGTGATATCTATCAAAATATTGACAGACAATGCCCAATTACGTTTTTCGAAATCGTACAAGTAACTATTTACAGCAGTAAAGGTAAATAAATCATTAGTAACCAACACCCAAATATTTTTAACATGTCAATTAAGAGTGGTCATTATGTAAGACACTAGTCATTTCTTTGTTAATGCACTATAATAACATCATTGTTATGGTGAAGTATTTGTTAAAAAATTAACAAAAAATGACAAAAATAGGCTTTTTAATGCTGTAACTCTAAAAATAGTGTTGTTTTAATCAAAAGTAAGCACATACTAATGCATTTTCTCAGAAGTTTAGGAGAAATAACAACGACCAAACAATATTTTGACAAAACAAAGGTAAAACAATAAGGAACCTTGAAATTACAAGCTTTTTTACATTAACTATGTATTAGAAAAGCAGTGGAAATTAGGGAAAATGAACATTTAGTTGATATTTTCAGTACAGAAAATACAGTAATCTCATGCTTTTTTTATAAAGCAGCGTTCTGTTATTAAAAGCATAGTATTATTAGCTTATTTTACAGTAAGGTTATTGTCTTTTTACAATCACTTTTTATATAAAGAGTCTAAGTCTACCCATACCCCTACCCCGACTTCTATCACTATACTTCTATTACTACCCCTACTTCTATCACTACTCCTACCCTACCACTGTCCTTATCGTAATTTCTATCCTTACCCCCAGACTTATCCTTACCTTTAACTCTATCCTTACCCATACCCCTACTGTTATATGTACCCCTACCTTTACCCCCTACTCTTAACTCTACCCTCAGGCTTCTTCCTTACTGTAATTTAGATAGACTATAAAAAATAATATTCACGTTATTCAAAAAACTTCAAAAATGACCATTTCCTGCCATAAACGTAGTGTTTTCATAACTTTTAATACTTGATTAACCTGGCCGCGAAGAAAAAACCCCTGCCAAAACGCCAAAGAAAGCCGAATGGACATTGTCCAGACGACCGCACCGGCCGGTGCTGACCAGTCTGTGAATAAATAAGCTTTAAACATTCTCCAAATTTAGTTCATTTACAACTATTAATAGACGAATTGTATACAATTTGAACTTGTCACAAGGTAATTAGGTAACAAAAGGTTAAGTATGGTAAAAGAGGTGATGTTTGCAAAAAATTAGTAATAAATGGGGTTTTTAGGCTTTAAAGTAAGGTTTTTTTTGTAAAAATGGTAGTTTAGGCTTAACATTGTAGAACCGTATAAAGCACCGTTTGGGGATTATAAATATGTTTGTTATAAAGGAGTTTTAGTATACAGAGGGTCTAAATGCACTGTGCAGTGCAAGGTGTGTAATGTTGCCCACGGATTTAAAAGTTGTTTGTTGAAAGAAGATTTCGTTATAGAGACGTTTATTACGCAGGAGTTTTACTGTATTAGTAGTGATATCAGTAGAAGCTTTTGATAAGAAAATGTTGCATGTTGAATATAACAATAGACAGCTGCTATGGTAGGTAAAAAAAAGTCTTGTCGTTTTTGGACTTAGAAACTAATTTCAATTGACGACAAGACTTTTTTTGACATTTTTAACACAGTGAAACTCCTGTAAACAAAAACTCTTTATAAGAAACAAATTTTAAACCCTCAGCGAACACTTTACAGTGCATTTAAACCTGCCGTAAAGCAAAATCTCTTTATAACAAACAAGTTGAAAAGCCCCATCCGATTCGTTATATGAAAGTTCTACCGAACTTGGCAACAAAAATATAACGAAACATAAAATATACCATCGTATTTTACCTATCCTGTAAGCAAGGCATTTCAAAAATTGTTGCAACTTTAACAAACAACTCATCCGCCCGTATTTTACAAAAACGAACACAATAAAAGCCAAAAATATAAGTCTGTTAATATTTATCAAAGGTTTCTTAAAGCCGCAAGAATTAAGGAAATGTAGTGTCTTTAGTTGTCGCCTTGACAACTGTAGCCCAAAACACTCTCGTATTCTCATGTTCGCGCAGGAAAACGTGTGCGAAACCCTGAAGCAGTGCATAATTAAACGTGGAATGGAAGAATTAAAAATTTTTTCAAATCTATGACACTGCAATATAGCAAACTCTCGTGTAACAAAACTTTAGTATAACGAACGCTATTAAAGTCCTTGTCTACCAGTACGCAGTGCATTTTAAAACTCCTGTATCTTGAAACTTTTATTAGTCTGAACCAAAAATAGCGGGACACTTTTCATTTGCTTTCAACCAAAAACTAACCCGCTACTTTTGGTTCAACCTACGTACAAATTTTAAATATTTGAGCCGTTGTTATATAGGGCTTCTACCGTATATAAATTATAAAAAAATACACCAATCGCACTAAAAGATACTGTAAAATCGAACACTGGGCAAGAAAGTAACACAAACAGTAGAGACTTGTAATTTCTTTTTGATAAAAAGGGTTGGGTGAGGAAGATTTTGTTTGATTACAGTAGTAACCACTCTTTTATACTGTACATTTTGTAGTATATTGTTTTTTGTGTGAGGTTGTAATTCTACTGTACTTTTTTCAGTTTATTTATTTGCAAAAAACAACAGTAATGGCGAACTTTTAATTTATTTTTATTTCTTTGTTCTGAGCCGGTTGACGAAGATACATTGGTACTCCTGTAAAATGAACTTTAAAATAGCGCAATTTCCATACAACAAACAAATTTAAACTCTTCTGACAACAAAAGTGCCCGACCTGCCCCTCTCTGGTTGACTTCAAACTTTTTATAAAGAAAGATCATGTAAATATAAGATCTTCAGCAAAAATCGCGCTTTCCAGGAAATCTCGAGAAAATCGAGATTGAAAAACGACATTTTGAATTTCCCGCCAACTTGGCATTGTGTTTCAAGCTTGTAACTTTGTCATTTTTTGACTTTTAATTATTTTTCTTTGATATACCGATAGAATACCTTTAAATGAACCTACATTTTTAAATTTGTAAGCGTATCTTGTCTGGAAAGCCGAAAAGTGTGCTTGAAACACAATGCCAAATTTGCCAAACTGGCGGGAAACCCAAATAATTTAAATTTAAAACTTAAATGCTAAAGTTTTTTATGGGTGCTATTGGTGGTACCAAGAATTCATATAAAAACTTTGAGCTGATTCTGAGCAGGGCAGGTAGGGTACTTTCCTTGTGAGCGATTTGTTATACAGGAGTTGCACTGTTTTCAAAAATTTATTTTTTTATATTATAAAATTTTAATCACAGGACACGAAATTTTAGTTTAGTTGCATGTGACATAAAAAGCTAGGTTTTTAAACTATTTTTCTTCGACATATAATTAAACATCTTGTAGGTTGCATTTATTATCATAAGGCACTTGTGCTTCATTTGTCACAATAATGACAAAAATTCTTAACCTTGGTATTAATATCACAGAGGAAGGTCTTGTATAACTAACTCCTCTATATGGAAACTCCTTTATAAAGAAGAATTTTTAAATCCTCGAGCAACTTGTGATACAGTCAGAGCCGGGCGGTTACTTTTGGTCTGGGGGCAGGGGTCGAAATTTTTTTTCCCAAAAACCTACGTTCAACCTTTTTCGAAATTTTTTTTTCTGGGAGTGTACCCTCTCCCCCCTTCCTGTCCCCTTCCTCTCCACTCGCACCCGCCCCTGTATACAGTAGTTCCTAGAATTATTTTTCAAAATTTTGAGGTTTAGACAAACAAAACCGGTTTTGTAGGTTCAGAGGTTCGTCATAAGCAAAGGTTCATGGCATTGTCATTTTTTGTCGTAAGCAAGGAAGTTGGATAGAACCAATATTTTAATTAGCCCATGTAGGAAATGTCCATGTAGGAAATGTTGTTTGACATTTTAAGAACTAGCTAGAAATTTCATGTAAGATAGGCTTTTTTTTGCGGGGGCTAGACCTGTAAGGGGGGTCGGACTCCGTCGAAAACTTTGGGCCGGCCTTTGACCCTTCAAGATTTGGCCCGGTCCTTTATAAATTTGTTTTAGCCCGGCCCCGGGCTCTTGAAGACCTTCTTTCAGGTTTAGTTTGGGTTGCTTTGATTATCAGTGTCAATAAGCGGACTAAATTGTTAAAACTGGCTGTAGTAGTCTAGGTTACCTTTTGTTAATGAAGTCACTTTGAGATTGCTTATATCTTAATAAATAGGTATGTAAACAGTAGGAAACAAACCAAAATTGCATTAAAACCATTGGCTAATCAAATAATTCTATGTGACTAAATGTACACAAACACAATTTTTTTAATTATGTGTAGTGCACTAAACTATAGTGTAAAAGATATTCGAAGTTGTTAAAGTTTTTAAGTATAGAAACAATTTTAAGCCTAAATTTTTTTTATTTTTTATTTTTTTATTCTAAGCCTAAGAGTTCAAACCACATTTTTTCGGTCTTTTCATGGAAGTTTCATTGCATGTTGATTGTTAAGTATAATATGAATATCATGTGCCCTTCAAAGATGTGCACTATTTCCAAACATGTATGGAAATAAATTTTTTATCTTTTAATTACAGTCATTGCCTAAAATTACTTATTTCTTCATATAATAAAAGTTAATTGACATGAGGAAGTTTTCGCAATGTAAAGATTACTTTTAAACATAATGTTTTACTATGCTGTCATTAACTGGACGTCAAGTAAACTAAGTTAATATAGTTTAATATATAGACCTTTATCGTCAGTGTAATGACAATGTTAACATGTATGTAGATTATTACTGTACGTCAGTGCAATGTATGTAATATACATTTTGAACGTAGGAGTACTTGTTGTCATTAACGTTACAGTATGAGTGAAAGGGGTAGTTATTGGAATATTATTGTATATAATTGTTTTATTTAAGAAATTAATATAGTAAAAGGGCAAGAGTGGTACTATTAGTTCAATTACTACACACTTTTTAATATTTACATATGCACATTACATACTTTGTAACGTAAACACTTACAAGGGAGTGTCCTACCGCATTATTAAGAGTTACAAGATGTTATTGAACAGTTTTTTTTTGTTATACAGTCATTTTTGAACAATATAATGTAGTACTTGTAGAATGTTTATGAGATATCATTGGTATACTGTTAATGACATGTTTTCCGACTCCAAATAATACCTATGTACCCAAATTCGTTTGTTTACAAAAGAAGGATTTTTTTTATAATTTTAAAAGTAAATTATAATTAACAAATTACTAGTTTGGAAACCTTTTCAGACATCGTTTATAAATTAAATTTGGGTGGGGAATTTCCTCTTTTTATTAACCGTATTATGCACAGCCGCGTGTGTTGAGTTAGTGTACTTATATGTAATAACAATTGTTGTGAAAGTTTAACTTGGCGGTAATATACCAAGTTTTTTTGAAACAGAGAAAATCTGTTCATTGGTTGTAGAATAGGTTCAACTGTACATTGTAAGGTGGTTGAGCTTGTTGAACATCACTTGGATAATAGATTCCAAATATGACTAAGTTTGCAGCTTCATCACAGCCTTTGTCACACGCTGGTACGATGTGCACATTGCTTGGAAACTGTTTTAGCAATGAAGAACGCATCAATACCCTGATTTAATGCTGGAAAACGGTCTCGATTTCATGCGATTTCTGTAGAAGTTGTTTTATATAATGCCATCGATTTGTCCCGGTAATAGCGCCTAACGGTTCTTGATCTGGGAATGCGGAAGGTATTTTTGAGCAAAGTGCCTACAGTTGCATAGTGGTAGTTGATCCGTACATCCCCAGTAGATAAAGCTCTAATTTAGCAGATTTGTAGAGATTGTTTTCTACTGGCACGACCTTGTAAACTAGTCTTGATTCTGTTTTCAACTCGATATTCTTGCTGGTTTTTGTTTTTTCGCTGTTTTTTTTTTCTGGGGACCTATTGCCAATTCTGTCTTCAGATTCTGCACTTCTTTTTTTCAACTTTCAGTTACATTGTTTCTTTGTGGCGATAAAATTGTGAAACCTTTTGAACTTTGCAGTGTTTTCTGTATTACTTTTTTCGCGCATATATATTGTATCACTATGTTTTAAAATTCATTTTAGTATACACTGCAATTAAAGATTAAGAATTGAAACTTGGTGGTCGCAGTTTTGAGATTGGTTCAAGGTTTGAACGTTGAAATCTGACAAAGTATTTCACAATTAAAACCTACCCATAAGTGAATCATGGAAGGTGTTGGTTGGCCTATGTTAATTCAAGGTTATGCTGGAAAAATATCTTCTACAATCTTCTGCTTAATTGTTTTATATTTTTTAACAAGAAAGGGACAGCCAGAAACTGCAAGGCTCCACCGAAGATCTTTAACCTGGATCATAGCTTTTGACTTGCTTTATTCTATCAATGGCGTCATTGTTTATCCGGTAAGACAACAATACATGCAAATTAGTTTTTAATAAGCAATAGGTATTTCGGGCTTTATTTACAATAGGTCTAAACAGCTAACGGGGGTTCCAAAGGTTCAAATGTTTATTCATGTTTTGCACTAGACTAATGATCAATTCGTCACCGGTTTTAATTAGATAGAGTTGGTAAATGTAGGTTTGTGAAGAAGTTCCTTTGTGTGCTAAATTTGACAGTTTCGGGTATACGATAAGTTCCTTGATTTGATAGTAAACATGGCAAGCCCAGTAGCAGCAAAACCTTCCTGAAAAGAAGTAAAGTTAGCTGAAGAGTATAATATTTACCTTTGAACTGAAAGAACTGAACGAACCATTGCGAATGAATCCTAAATGAAAGTAGGCACATCTTCAGAAAAGTTAGCGATAACGACAATTTATGGGAAATCCACAACTTTTCCACGTTTTAGGTAGTGGACTTTGTGGACAACAGAATAATCTTTCAATATGACATCAAAGACTGTTTGCAATGGTTTTTGAATGCCGACATCGCCAACTCAATTCAATCAACCGTTCTGATCTTGATTGTATTAGTGTTACCACTTCAACCTGTCTTGCGATTTTACAACTTGAAATCAAAACCTTTGAGTGCTATGAAAATTGACATGATGTTTATTATCTGCATCGTTATTGCAATTGCCTACGGCATTTTGAGCTACAAAACTGCATTGGTAGGGGACAACACTCCAGCTTATCCGTTCCTTTTGCAACATTCGGCTTTTGGCGATATTGTTGTATATGATCTGGTAGGTATTAAGTGGTGGTTTTCTAAACCATTTTTTTTTATCTTATATCAAAGGCCTTAAAAGTAGAATAGCGTGTAAGAGTAGCTTGTAAAAACGATCTAAATAGTCAAAAATAAAGTTTGTCGTTTCAGCAATTAAAAATTGCAAAAGCAAATCTATGTGTTATGATGCTGTTGGTCACTCTGGCATACACTTTAACTATTTACTTTACTGTAAAAACGCAAAACTTGATGAGAAACATGCACGAAGAGATTAGCAAAGAAACAAAGAGACTACAAGACCGTATGAAGAAAATTATTATTGTTCAGGTAAGTTGCTTTTGATTAAAAAATGACATATATGAACTGGAGTAGTTTTGAAGTATGACATTTACAAACAATTACAAAGAAAAATTTACCTTCTGATATCATTTTAGACTCTAGTCCGCTTGTTCGGTCTAGTGTTACCAACAGTTGTGGTAGGAACCTACCCATACTTTCTAAACGGCGATTACAAAGACATGTGGGACAACTTTTGTACCACCTGTTATATGTGGATAACCTTGTTTAACTCATTGTCCATAATAATTTGCACTCCACACTATCGGTGTTGGTTTATCTGTTTGTTAAGGTGTAGTCCTCTTCATTCATACACAACAACTACCAATATTATGGAGTTTGAGAGTCAACATACTACAAACTGTAGCAAAAAACCTAGGACTTTTTAGGGTTTGACAGTTTTTTTTAAATTTAATTTTAATAAATTTTGTTTTTAAAACTTTTTGATGTATTTTTTGAAGGAACAAAGGTTCTACAACGTTCAATATTGTAATTTATCAAATTATAGGAAAACAGTGTTGATTAAGCTTATTTATGAATAAATTTAATTTTGTTTGTTATCGGTTTTTACATGTAACATTGTATCAGGGTTACGTAGCTATGGGGTGGGGTGAATGGGGTTGATTTGTCATAAAAATGTTTTTCACGTATACGTGAAAAAAAATTTTAAAAAATTGATAAATTGATGCACAGGTAGACGTAGACGAAAAAGTTCTTTTGGATCCATCTCTCTTCTCCTTCCCTTCTTTCCAACCAATAATTTCTGGCGACTTTTTTGCGTTGTATGACATCCTTGATTATATATGAGTTGTGCATTAGTTTTGTGATTGACCAGTCAGTCAATAAGGGACCGTGCTCTCTCGCCGCGTAAAGAACAACTTTTTTTCTATCCGCACGTTCAGACAAGAATTCGCTGTTTTTGACGACTAGCTAATCATAAAACAAATGCACAACTCATATATGTTATAGAGAGGTTTTTTTACTTTATTGGTCTTTGAATCTTCTTCCAAAGCTTAAAATTATAAAATTTGGCAAATCTCAATTTAGTGAATAATAATTACAGTGGTACTCTTGCATGACGAATTGGGGAGCTGAAAGTTGTTTGTTACGTAGCAGGTTTGTTATAAAGGGGTTTGTAAATTGCGCAGAGTTAGGCGTGGATTCGAAAGTTTTTTTTATACAGCGGTTACATTGTATATGATTTTATAATTACTACATTGTACATGATTTATTAATTTGCATATTTTAAACTAAACTTTTTAAAAATTTTTATTTTGGCATTATTAAGTTAGTATGCTAATTCAATGTGTATGCATTTATGTACAAGAAGGTTTAGTTTTGGCGATCTCATCAAACCTTTCTTTGATTTTCCGTCGCAAAAGCTTGCCGTTTGGGTTTCTGGGTATGGCGTCTAGGAAATAGATTCCTCCTGTTATTTGCTTGAATTCGTTTACCTTGACTAAAATTTTAAATTTAAAAATAAAAAAATGCATATGTTTAGATGCTCGTATAAGATAATCATTAGGCTGTTCAAGTAATTCTGTGCTTCTTTTCAAAAAATTAGGTTGGTGGCCTAGAATTACTTGAAAATCTTGATATATAGGTTTGGCATTCTTCACCAGTTTTCTAAGGTTTAGCTGATTTTAATGCCAAAGTATTACTGTAATGTACGACTTAAATAAATACAGTAGTCTCCCTATATAGGCAAGATGGTAGGCAAAAAAGTTTGGGTTGGTTACGTGTTTTGGCTTTTAAAAGGGGGTGTTGGCTTTAAAGATTGATTTTTAGTACCATGGCGGGGTCAAATTTCGTGTTTACTAGAAAAAAGATGCTTACACAGATGGTCTATATAGAAAGACCATTTATACAGTACTCTCTCGATATAAGCAACCCGAAGGGACCGACATTTTGTGTTTACTATAAGGGGTGTTGTCTTTACAGAGAGACTTTTTGGTGCAAATTGAGTTGGCGAGACCAAATTTCTTGTTTACTACAAGAAGAGTTGCTTATACAGATGGTCCGCTATATAGAGAGACTACTGTATAAGAAGTAAAAAATTTCAAACTCACTATTAACAGCCTCTAGACAATTCTTCTCTGTCAAGCTTGAATTACTTTTGACCACAAATCCAGTAGTTCTTTCGTCAGTAACCGGGTCCGGCAACCCTACCACAGCGCAGTCTTTAACACCAGGTATACTCATCAAGATATCCTCTAGCTCTGATGGTGATACCTGTTTTCCGCCAACCTTAATCATTTCTTTTTTGCGATCAACCAAGAACAGGAAGCCTCTTTCATCTAGGTAACCAATATCACCAGTGTCTACGAAGCCATCCGGAGTGAACAGGTCTTTGTTGGCTTCAGGGTTGTTGATGTAGCCAATTGTGTGGGTATGAACTTTGACTTGGACTACTCCGGGCTGGTTGATAGTTAGCTCGGCGCTGGTTTCTGGGTCGACGATCTACATTTAGGTGCTGATTAGTACTTTTTACTGTTGGGTGGATAGATTTAGTATAGGAAAAGGATTTTGGGCGGGGTAAAAAAAATATTTTTAGGGGGTGCGAAAAAAACTGTAAGGGGTGGTTTTGTCAAGCATTTTGAAGAAGAAGGGGTGGTGGTGGTAAATGGTAAACAAAGTTTATAGGCCAAGGGGCATGGAACTTATTTTTGAAGGGCGGGGTGAAAAAAAAACACTTTTTATTTTAAGGGGTGGTTTTGTAGAAAATAGATTTAGAAAAGGCGGGAGGAAAGAAAAATGGTGAAAAACGTTTTTGAGGGGCAGAGGAGCTATCTTCATAAGGCGGGGTAAAAAAAAATTTTTTTTATTTTTTAAGGGGTGCTTTTGCAAAAAAAAATCATACCAAGCTCAAAAACCTACTCTAAGTTCAGCATTGCTCATGATCCGCCCTACTGAAGTCAGGGGACCTCTTACTACAGCATCATGCACACATATACACATAGCTTCAGTAAGTCCATATAACTGTCCGGCTAACTTGACATAAGGAAAGTATTTGGCTACATCGGCAGCTACTTGCTCTTTTATTGGGCCTCCAGACGAAAATAAGGTTTTGATACTCTTTAAACTCTCTGGATGCTCCTTTTTGTATCGTATTAGCTGGACTAAGGTTAGGGGTGATACAAAGTTGAGGGTTATCTGAAATTGTGCTTTAGTACGGCAAAACTTCATGGTGGTTGTTGCTTACCCTACCTCACCCCACCCTACCCTACCCTACCCTACCCTACCCTACCCTACCCTACCCTACCCTACCCTACCCTACCCTACCCTACCCTACCCTTCCCTACCCTACCCTACCCTACCCTACTCTACCCTACCCTATTGCTTCACCCTTGCCATATCCTCGTTCTATCCTTGCTATACCCTTGCTCTACTCTGGTTCTACTCTGGCCTTACTCTTGACTTTTCCTACCCTAGTCTTCTCTTGCCTTACCCTTGCCTACTCATCTCTACTACTTGACACTACTTTACTCTACCTTATCTTTACCCAACTCTACTCTACCTTATTCTTTATTACTCTTTGCTCTTTTGGCCTATTCTAACTTAGTGTTGCCTTATCTTACTACAATTTTCCTTACTTTAGCTTTACTTTTAGCCTACTCGTAACGTATTTTCAAATTATAATAGTTTTTCTATTTTGACCGCAACTTACTTGATACTTATCAATAGCATCAACAACGTCTTGAATATCCCCACCATTAACAAATATTCCTCTAGCGCCAGCGAACATACACATGGTGCTCACGAATTGTCCAAACACAAACCCTAATGGTACAGTAAGCAATATCTTCTCATTTCTCCAATTCCAGTCATTTTCAATTTTTTTTCCAATATTATTTGTGAAATGATTCACAAAGTTTTCAAAAATAAAAGCATTAGCAAAGTGGGTCACCTTAACCCCTTTCGGTAGACCAGTAGTGCCACTCGACGTTGGTAGGGTAAACACATCGGTTTTTATATCAATTTCAACTTTAGGCAAAGGGTCGTTGTTCTTATAGGCTTTGTCATTGATAATGTCACGAATGTTGATAATAATAATGTTTTTGGTAGTTGTTGGTTTTATGTTGCCCACGTATATTATAGTAGATATTTGTGGGCATTTATTGATTATATTAAGAATACGTGGCACTACATAGTCCTGGACTAGGACAACTTTTGCTGAACATAGGGTAATTTGATGGGCTAGCTCGTCTGAAAAATGAAAAGAGTATGGGAGGGCAGGACAGGGCAAGGCAAGGCAAGGCAAGACAAGGCAAAGCAAGGCAAGGCAAGGCAAGGCAAGGCAAGGCAAGGCAAGGCAAGGCAAGGCAAGGCAAGGCAAGGCAAGGCAAGGCAAGGCAAGGCAAGGCAAGGCAAGGCAAGGCAAGGCAAGGCAAGGCAAGGCAAGGCAAGGCAAGGCAAGGCAAGGCAAGGCAAGGCAAGGCAAGGCAAGATAATTCTACTATTGGGCTGTTTAGGCCAAGGCACTTACATTCAGTATAAATCGGATTGGCACCACTCAAAGCAGTCTCAATTAGCGATGCTCCTTGATTAACACAAATGTACTCCCAGCCATTTTCCACCGCTGTCACAACATAATCACCTTTAGTCAAGCCTAGTTTTAGCAAAAACTTGGCTATAGCTGTACTACGGTCGATGATATCTTGACCATATACGTCTTCTTGAGTGTGAAAATTGGTGTAAATTGGCTGATCTGGGCGGTCTTTGATGTGTTGTTTCAGGTAGCCAAAGGCGAGTTCATGAACTGGCTTGGTTGGTAGAGGGGTTGAGGGTGAGGGAGAGGTGAATACCATTCTGCAAAGGAATTATTAGAAGTACAAGTTTAGATTAGTTTAAGAAACAATATATGGGTATGGCAGGGTATGGTAGGGTAGGGTAGGGTAGGGTAGGGTAGGGTAGGGTAGGGTAGGGTAGGGTAGGGTGAAGTAGGATAGGATAAGGTGGGGTAGGAATTCAAAACTATTTAAAAATTGCTGAAAAATTGTTTATTAAACTTTTTGTTTATCCATAAACCACCTTTTATATTTATATAGATCATCTGTTCTACCTACTTTTTAGCTTAAAATGTGCGTTCAATAAACTCAAAAGTTAGTTTTGTTCTTTGATGTTGATAAAACTAAACTTTACCACCATTTCTGATTCCCTCACATGTTATCTCCACGTTTTCTTTATTGAAAACGTAGTTTATATCAATATCACCAAGCCCTTTATCAACTTTAAACCACAAGAACCACAAGTATTGATAATATCAGGTGCCGACATAAAGAACCCGCCATACTATTCCTGTAATTTTCTGTAAAAAATGGCGGGTTCTTTTTGTCGGCACCTAGTATTAATAAGAAATTGCGTTGTAAAGCAAACTTTGTTCATTGATATCAAAAATACTGATCAATAGTAAGACACTTGGACTCGAGTTTTCAAAAGTCATCTATAACTAAACCTATTTATTACAAATGGCTCAAAGAACTATCAGAAATGACATCACAAGAGCAAAAACTAAAGCAGGCTAGGCTGTAGATGTTCGAGTAATGGAATGTAGATGTTGAAGTAATAAGATGTAGATCTTGGAGTAGGCTAAACGCTCTTCTTTGGCTTCAAAACGAATCTGATGAAGATGCTACGAGCGTCGTTGTCTGATAAGGAGAGTCCACATTCCGCCATCGTTGCTATGTGGTACTAAAAGTGAAAATCGATAACTAAAACATCAACAATAGCAATCCAATATTCTACAGATACCTAAAAATGTCAAAACACCCCCTTACCAATGACAAAAACCTTGTCTGAGCCAGCCTGGCTTTGCTGAAGTAGTTGAATTTGAAAAATTCACATTCCTTGAATCTTGTCACAGTCTTTCCTGGCACGGCTGACATACAAATATGACCTTTTGTAACAAAGATTCTGAATTCATCTCCGGTCGATACCTGATAGGCACAGTCAAAGTCGTCTCGGTTCCATAATGGCATGAACCGAGTTCCATCAAAAGCATACAAGTAGTACTTGTCGTTACAATCGTATGTGAAGAGCTTGTCGTGTATTACTAAAGCTTGGCCGGTTTCCGTTTTGGCTAGAAGGGTTATAGTGTTGTTGATGTGACTGTAGATCCTGGTTCTGAAAAGTAGAATTTCTATCGCGTGGTGTAATGTTGTTTCAACTCTAAATATCATTTAATTGATCTATTAAAATGAATTTTGAATCTAAAAAAAAGTCACAAAATACATACTCTTTTTCCTTGACATAGCTAAAGTAGAAGTTGAATGGATTTTGTCCATTTTCAGTCAGAAATGCCACAAATGATGTCATAGATTCATTGACATGTATTGTCAGGCTTCTAAAATTAAAAACTCTATTGAGTTATACCCTAAAGTAATAAAAAAAAACAAAAAAATTTTTAAATTTTAAATTTTAAAAAACTATGCTTCAAACCTACGTCAAACGTTCTTGAGTCAAGTAGCGTCTGTAGTAATTGACCATAATTGTCTTATTCTCATAGTCATAATCATACTGAATAACGTCAATATCAAGCACATTATGGTAGTCGTACAACACCTTAGTCAAGCTACACGTCTTCAACAGATTGGCAGCTTGAGAAGCAGCAAATTCTGAATCACTCAATATTGTTGTTGCTTCATTAGGTCTAAAAAAAACTAGGGTATAGCAGGATAGAGTAAGTTGGAGTAGGTTAGGGTAATGTAAAGTAAGGCGTAGTAGGATAGGGTGAGGTAAAGTAGCGTAGAGTGAAGTAGGGTAAGAAAGAATAATGTGGGATAAGGTGGAGTAGGGTCGGGTAAGACAGTATGTGAAGAAGTGTTTACTGACAAGTTACTTGATATTGTAGAAGTTGTTGAGCTTCCAGTTGATATTGTAGTTGAAGAAAACGATCTTGTGGATGTTCCATTTGTAGCAGCCGTTGATGTAATAGTACCAGGTGCGTCGTTCCTTATAAACTGAATATGCAAGTTTTTATCAATTCCAGAAGTGTCGCGAAGAAAGTCTTTCTGAAATAACATAGTCTTAACTACTGTAGACTCTGTGATAAAAGAGTTCTATTTGATCGTACCGTACTTTACTCTACCCTACAATACCCTACTTTATCCTATAATACCCTACCCTACCATACTCTATCCTACTCTACCGTACCGTACCATACCCTAACGTACCGTACCCTACCCTACCCTACCCTACCCTACCCTATTCGACCATTTCCTACCATATCTTATTATGCCTTGCCCCCCTACTTCTTCCTCACCCCTCTACGCTACCTTACTTGACCCTACCTTACCCTATCCTACCTTACCTTACCCTACCCTACCTTACTCTACACTAGCCTAGCCTACCCTAATCTACCCTACCCTACCCTACCCTACCCTACCCTACCCTACCCTACCCTACCCTATTCGACCATTTCCTACCATATCTTATTATGCCTTGCCCTACCCTGCCAAACCCTACTTTACCGTACCCTACTTTACCCTACCCTTCCTTGCCCTACCATACTTCGCCTTACCCTACGTTACATACATAGCTCTACTCTACCCTACTTTACCCTACCACAATCCTACCTAAGCTCCTTATCATTTCCCTATTTATAGTATATCCAGCCTTACTATAAGCCTTCTCATAGCCTTACTGTATCATTCTAGCCCTATGTTTTATCTCTTTTCCTACCTCACCCTTAGCCTCATCTATCCAAAGCCTACCCACATAAACTATTATATTAAAAACTTACAACTCTAAAGAAGCCTGTAAATGTTGTGTCATTTTTACTGTAACTTCTAAAAGCGTCAAGAGAGTCGGTGAGATCGCCATAATCTTCATCATCGAAACCTAAATACTGTAGATTTCCGGATTCTTCAAACACAATACGATTGTCTATAGCAAAAGAATTGACACAAGGGAGTGGGACATGTCTAACGGTAGTTTTAATCCTTTTAGACGTAATATTGTACTTTCTTAATGTTCTACCGTCGCACGTTTGATCCACAATCACGATATCATTCAACAGGTACACTTTTGCGGTGTTGTTTCTAAAAATGAATTTTAATATTAAAAAGTATATATTTTAAAATTAAAAAAATTAATTTATAGTTTAGAAAAAAAATTTAAAAAAATTTAAATAAAAAGTCAATTTTTGAATTAAAAAAATAAAATTTAGTATAAAAAAAATAATTTTAAATTTGAAAATAAAATTAAAAAAATAAAAAATAACTTAAAAGGAAGATGCCCGACCTGCCCCGCTCTGATTGACTTCAAACTTTTTATATAGAAAGGTCATGTAAATATAAGACCTTCAGCAAAGCACTAAATTGCGCTTTCCAGTCAAACACCAGAAAATCAAAATCAAAAAATTACGTTTTGAACTTCCCGTCAAATTGGCATTGTGTTTGAAGCCTATAACTTTGTCATTTTTTGATTTTTAATCAGCTTTCTTTGATATATTATACTAGTAGAAAACCTTTAAATGGACCTACATTTTCAAATTTAAGTACATAGCTTGCCTGGAAAGTCAAAAAAAGTGCTTGAAACGCAATGCCAAATTTTTCAAGTTGGCGGGAAATTCAAATATTTCAAATTTAAAACTCAAAAGCGTGAGATGAAAATTTTTTATGAGTACTATTGGTGGTACAAAGAGTTTATATAAAAATTTTGAGATGATTCTGAGTGGGGCAGGTTGAGTATTTTCATTGTATGTAGGGCAGGTTAGGTACTTTTTTGTTAAAATTTTTGAAACTAAAAATAAACTCACGTTCTGACATGCGTATCCACAAATTCGTTCCCTTTCAAAACGGAAATTTCGAAACTCTCTGTGTTTCGAACTTTTTTAATTCCAATCACATTTGGCGTCATGTTGCTGCTCATACTCATTCTCACGTTCATGTATTCTCCACAGTCTTTTGAACAATTGAGACGCTTAGAGGTACTGAAACATTGAAAAAAAATTGGAAAAAAGACTAAAAAAAGTTTAAAATTTACATATAAAAATTTGAAATTTTTTGAAAAAAGTTGAACGTAGGATGTGGATTTTTCGACCCCGTCTCTAGACCAAAAGTCCCCGTCCGGCCCAGTTCAAAACCGTACCATGGCTACTGTAAGGTTAAAATAAATGACGCAGAAACATTAAAAACCGACTTACTCCTCTTTAAAACCCGTAGCGTCACTTCCATAATATTTAACTTCTAACAAGCTATGGTCGTGGTACTGGTAATTATAAAAAGCAAACTCCGTTGGCTCAAATTGAAGTTTGCTTCTAACAATCGTATGGTTCAGCATAAGACTCAAAACAATCGAAAGATTCATTTCAGCCCACCGGTACACGCGTTGTACAAATTTAAAATAAAATTTTTAAAAAATTTGAAAATTAGGAGTTTTAGTACTGTAATAGTACGAGTACTTTAAATCTCAAAAAATTAAAAATTTAACAAAACTGATAAGACAAAAACGAGAAAAAATAAGGTCAATTTTAAAGCAAAAGAAGGTGTTGAACGTAATTATAATACATATAACTTACAAGAGAGGTACCCAACCTGCAATGCTCAAAATTTTTATCTGAATTCTTTGTACTACCGATAGCACATATAAAAAATTTTAGCCCGCGCTTTTAAGCTTCAATATTTAACTATTTAAGTTTCCGCCAATTCGGCAAATTTGGCAAACGGCAGTACTATAATTGTATCAGAATAACTAAAACGAAACTAAGCTAAGGCTAGAGCTAAGGCTAGGTCTAAAGCTAAGGCTAGAGCTAAGCTTAGGTCTAAAGCTAAGGCTAGAGCTAAGCTTAGGTCTAAAGCTAAGGCTAGACCTAAGGTTAGGTCTAAAGCTAAAGCTAGAGCTAAGGTTAGGTCTAGAGCTTACGTAAACTAAACCCCCTTAAAGCTAAGGCTAAAGCCGGTAATAGGCTTACACAACAGAATCAATTTTAAAACCTAATCTTTAAAAAATCAAATTCAAATCTTTTATTACAAACTAAATTAAACTGTCATCCAATATGCCATCAAGAGAGTAAGAAGCATGCTCCATTTAACTGATGCTGTAGTAGACTTGACCATCTTCTTTGGCTTCAAAATGAATCTGATAAAGATGCTACGGGCTTCGTTGTCTGATAATGAGAGTCCACATTCCGCCATCGATGCTATGTAGTACTAAAAGTCAAAGTTGATAAGTGCGACATGAAAAATAGCATCCAATCCTCCACAACTACCAAAACTGTCAAAACATCCCCTTACCAATGACAAAAACCTCGTCTGAGCCAGCCTGGCCTTGGTGAAGTAGTTGAATTTGAAAAATTCACATTCCTTGAATCTTGTCACAGTCTTTTCTGGCACGGCTGACATACAAATATGACCTTTTGTAACAAAGATTCTGAATTCATCTCCGGTCGATACCTGATAGGCACAGTCAAAGTCGTCTCGGTTCCATAATGGCATGAACCGAGTTCCATCAAAAGCATACAAGTAGTACTTGTCGTTACAATCGTATGTGAAGATCCTGTCATGTAGTACTAGAGCTTGGCCTGTTTCTGTTTTGGCTAGAAGGGTTATGGTGTTGTTGATGTGACTGTAGATTTTAGTTCTAAAAAAAATATTTTAATAATCTACCCCAACAAAAGCTTACCCTGGCCTTCTTATGAGCTTACCATGCTGTTCTAATATAATATAAAGGTCATTAGCCCTATGCAAACCGTATTTTACCCCTTATTTTTCGTTGTTCTATAACTCGCCAAGCCCTGGCCAAGTGTTATCATTAACATAGGCAAGCCCTGGCCAAGCCTTATAATTAATCTAGCCAAGCCCTTCCCAAGCCTTAAACGTTAAACTGACCATGCCTTATCACAAACCTAACCAACCCCTACCCAAGACTTATCATTAACCTAGCCAAGCCCTGGCTAAGTCTTCTCATTAACCTAACCAAGCCCTCCTACCAAAGCCTTATTACCCTAACCAACCCCTAGACAATCACATAAACCACAATATATAATAATGCACTTACTCCTTTCCAGCAACATGACTAAAATAAAAATTGGTCGGATCTTGTCCATTCTCAGCCAGAAATGCCACAAATAATGTCATAGATTCATTGACAGGTATCGTCGTGCTTCTAAAATTGAAAAATCTAGACTTTTATACCTAAAAATAGCTAAAAACTATAAATTTCAATAGCCATTTTTAATAGCACATCCCTACAGAGTTAACCTTGAAGACCTACGTTAAGTTCCGCGTGGTCAAATAATTTTTGTAGTAATTCACATTGATATTCCCGTTTTCATATTCGTATTGAAGAACATCGATATCAAGCACATTATGATAGTCGTACAACACCTTAGTCAAGCTACAAGTCTCCAACAAGTTAGCAGCGTGAGAAGCAGCAAGTTCTGAATCACTCAGTATTGTTGTTGCTTCATTAGGTCTAAAAAATGAAGCCTGTAGATGTTTTACAGTACGGTTAGGGTAAGTAGAGATAGGACAGGTATAAGAGTAAGAGTCAGGGTGGGGGTAGAGTAGGATAAGGTAGAGTAAGGTAGAGTATGTACGGTAGATTAGGGTAGGCTAGGCTAGTGTAGAGTAAGGTAGGGTAGGATAGGGTAGGGTAGGGTAGGGTAGGGTAGGGTAGGGTAGGATAGAGTAGGGTAGGGTAGGGTAGGGTAGGGTAGATTAGGGTAGGCTAGGCTAGTGTAGAGTAAGGTAGGGTAGGGTAGGGTAAGGTAAGGTAGGATAGGGTAAGGTAGGGTCGGGTAAGGTAGCGTAGAGTAGGATACGGTAGACGTAAGAGCAGGGTTCCTAGTTCTTTATCTAACTTACAATTGCTTTGGCGTAGTGCTTACTGTTGAGTTGTCTCCGGACGTTTCATCTGAAGACGTAGTCGATGTAGACGTTGTGTTGGATGCATCCTTTGTTGTGTTCGTCGTTCCCGTAGTAGATTGTGTTGAAGTCGTAGTACGCGTGTCATTTCTGAGAAATTGAACATACAAATTTTTATGAATTTTAAGTTCGCTAGGAAGTAGGTCGTGCTGAAAAGTATAGGTTTAAGTAATGTAATCCTTTAATGATGTCATTTTACTCTGTTGTAACATATCTTACCTGTGTACCCTACCCTACCCTACCCTACCCTATCCTACCCATATAAAACTCACCACTTTATAAAAGCCAGTAAATTGTTTGCCATCTCCATAGTAAGTATTAAAATTTTTCTTAAAAAACCCTTCTTCAATCCAGTAGTTATTGTTGAGACCAAAATACTTTGCTTTTTCGTAATACCACACATGATCGTCGATAACAACAGTTTGGCCACATATAGGCTGCTTTGCTACAATATTCGTACTAACATTGCCTTGTGTTATATTGTAAATTTGCAATTGTTTGTTACCTTCGCACATTTGATCTATCACCACGATATCATTCAACAGGTATACCTTGGAAGTGTTTTTTCTGAAAATGAATGAAATTAGCAAGGAAAATACTTCGCCTGCCCTACTCACAAGGAAAGTACCCCACCTGCCCTACACACAAGGAAAGTACCTCACCTGTCCCGCTCAGAATCATCTCAAAGTTTTTATATGAGTTCTTTGTACCACTATTAGTACAGAGAAAAAATTTTAACTCGCGCTTTTGAGTTTTAAATTTTAAATATTTGAGCTCCGCGCCAATTTAGCAAATTTGGCATTGTGTTTCAAGCTCTTTTTTTGACTTTCCAGACAAGCTACGTTATTAAAAATTGAAAATGTAGGTCCATTTTGAGGTTTTCTACTAGTACATCAAAGAAAAATTATTAAAAGTCAAGAAATGACAAAGTTATTATATACCAGTGTGGCGGGAACTTCAAAATTGATCTTTTGATTTCGATTTTCTCGGGATTAACTAAAAAGCGAGATTTAGTACTTTGCTGAAGATCTTATATTTACATGATCTTTCTATATAAAAATTTTGAAGTCAATCAGAGCGGGACAAGTTGGGCACTTTGTTAGTTAGCTGACCAGAGGAGTAATTTTGTTCAAAGGGGTACCTTTACTCAAGAAAAATCAATTCTTAGTGCTGTAGCTGGGTCAGAGTGAATTTTTTTTAATTGGGGTGCCGCTACACAAAAAAGCCTACAAAGAATGCTTTTGGTCCACCGGCTTAGCAAAAATGATGATTTTTAGTCAAGGTAGGACGCTTCCGCAAAAAATGGCCAATAAATTTCAAAGTTTTAAAAATTTTATTTTTTCCAAGTTTCTAAGCTCATTTAAACCTGTCAGGCGTGTTTGATTAGTGCTTTTTGAACAATTAGTGTAAGACCGGCAAGAGCATTTTGCTTGCAAAGTGAAATCAGTAAAAATCCAAAAAAAAGTGAAATAAAATACTCAAAATGACCTACGTTTTAATGTAATCGTATTTAAACCCGCCGTCTTTCAAAACAGAAATTTCAAAAACGTCATGGTTTGGTACTTTTTTGATTCCAATCACATTTGGCTTCGAGCCGTTGCCCATACTCACGCTTACATTCATATACTGTCCACAGTCGATTGGACATTTCGGATTTTTATGAGAACTGAAGTAACAAAAAGGTGAGTAAAAACATTTTTGAATGAACATACAGTCATTTAAACGCTCTGTAACGATAACCAAAAGTTTAACAGTTGTTTTGGTATATTATACAAGGTTTTCAATATACAGGAGCTCGTTATATTGCTTCAAGCAAAGTAAAAACAAACTAAAGTTTAACTTACACCAACTTGAAACCACTGACATTATTTCCATACCAAATATCCTCATTCAGCCTACCATCACCACTGTAATCGTATAGACGAAACGTAAACTCCATCGGAACAAAAGGTAGGTGATTTAAAACAAAGCTGTTATTCATTATAAGACTCAACACGGACGCTAAAGCTACCATTTTGGCCCGCCGATTTTCGTATAGTAAAAAATGTAAAATGAAAAATTTTTAAAAACTTTAAAAGCCAGAATTACACTTATTTTTATATCATATAGGGTTAGAGTAAAGAATATCAAGGATAAGGAGAGCTAGGTTAAAGGATAGTAGGGCTTAGGTAAAGCTAAAGCAAGGCATAGCAAGACTAAGGCAAGGTTAGAATTAGGGATAGAAAAGCTTGGATAAAGCTGAATTAAAGAATAGCAGAGCTAGAATTAGAGATAGCAGGGCTTAAACAGGGCTAAGGTAAGGTATAACTTGCTTGGGTAAAGCTAGAGTAAAGACAAGATAGGACCGGTGAAAGAGCAATGGTAATGACGGAGATGAGAAATGGCTCAAAGGAGGCTTACATAACTCCAAACTATTTCCAATAAGCTAATTTTAAAATAATCCAAATTTAAATTGATGTATTTATTAGAACCAGTTATAATCATGAGAAACCCATCGATCATCAAGAACTGCATACTCATACTCCTGCCGCATTAGCCTTGTTCTAGCTCTAACCCTTCTTTTACCAAGATCCACAGTATTAGGCTTAAAAATGGCGTTCAGGTTAAGAAAACTTTAAAAATTTAAAAATAAAAATTTAAAACTCACTTAAATTTAAAACCCGTTTTATTTCCATACCACTTATACTGTACCAAATGCTCTTCACTGTAATCATACGAATAAAATGCAAAATCCGTTGGTTCAAACGGAAGCTTTTGTAAGATGAACTCATTCTGCAATGTAATATTCAACAAGTCCAATAAATTCATTTCAACCCGCCGGTTTTCGAATAGTAAAAAGTGTAAAATAACAAAAATTTTGAAAATTAAAAAAATTAAAAAAACATCAGTCGAATTACCCAAAATAGGGTCACACAGGCTTAGAAAAAAGAAAGGGCGTAGACAATGTTCCAGGCCCTGCCTTGTGCACTGCTATGCCCGGCCCGGTACAGGGCAGTTCCGTTCTGTGCCCTAGGGCAGGGCATTGACAATTTTTCGTTTCATGACCTGTACCTTGTTATGAATTGCCCGTTATATCATATGTTCCCTGCCCTGTGTGTAGTCCTGCAGTCACAAAAACTTTTTTTAACTTAAAATTTAAAAAAAAAATTTTGATTTTTTTAAAATTTCTAACTCGAAACCAACCCTACCTTTTCCTATTTTAACCCACCCTACCCTAACGTACCATACTCTTCAAATTTTAAGATTTCAAATTTTCGCCAATTTTCGGCGTTTCCTTTTGAATTTCTTGAAGAAAACAAAACATTTCTATCTTGATATGCTTAATATTCAAAATGACCTTTATTTGAATAAGAACAGTAGCCGCCCTTTAAGAAAAGTAATCTTTTGGAAAATCCTTACAATTTGTTAAGGGAAAGTTTTCCGCAGTAAACAGGTTACTTTACAATATATTTTTGTATTTTTACTATACAGTTACTGCAAAATTTTATTTTTTTTACTAAATATTTACTGTATTGTTAACTTTTTAGCCTACTGTCCAGTTAATACTACTAAAAGTGTAACTACTGCCTATAGCCAATACTACTAGATATCCAGAAGCTATAGTGCAGTAACTCTCAGTATTTTAAGTATCACTATGTTTTATTGTAAAATACGACGCTTTCTGGTGGATATTGTTACAACTTTGTCACTTTTTTCTATAGCAAATAGTAGTTGTGTGCTATCGACTAGTCGAAAATACTGTTTGAGTTACCTAGATTCAAATTCAGTACAAATTGTTGTTAACTATGTTAGTAGTAATAGTACTGTACTGAAAAATCAAACTTTGAGTAGCAAAAGTATTGGTAAGTTTTTCCTAACCTAGCCTACTCTACCATACGATACCATACCATTCACTACTACAATTCATTCTACTATGTCCTATCCTATCTTACTCTAATTTTCTCTGCTCTATCATACCGTACCATACCACACTCTACCCCATCTTGCCATACCCTACTCTACTTTACTTTACCATTCCCTATCGTGTCCTACCCTACCATACCAACTCCTATTGCATCTCTTACTCATAAATTTTTTTTAATTTTATATTGAAATTTCAGTCTTCCCAGACCAAGAATTCTACGCTCATTTAAAAGATTACCAAGCCAGCCATCTTCAAGTTACTATGCTTGACTTTGAAAACGTTTGTAATATAACATTGAACAAAACCTTACTGAATCAAAAACCTTTACATAACGTGACTACGTTAACTTTTAGTTCAAAGTGCCTCAACTTTTGTAAAAACAACAATTACTGTGTTGAAGCTCGAGAAGTTTTCGACTACCACGTTCATGTTAACAACATAAGGGTTTGTGAGCTTCAACGTGAGTTAAATTTGTTTTAAATTTTGTCATTTCAAAGACTTTTTTAAACTTTTTTCCTTTATTATTATTAAATTTTATTAATTTTAGGTACATTTTCATATTCCGAATCCCCACCCAATCCTCAGAGCCATGAGTTTTCCTTGGAACTGACTGATAACGAAAATGACAGTATGCTCCGTATGTTAAACAACTCACTGTTCCGTACAATGCACCTTTACGAAGCTACTGAACAAACCAACACTATTTTAGCTAGGCAAGCCTTTTTTTAACTATTAAAACAATTAAAAAATTTTTTTTTCATTTCTTTTTCAAATCAAAGCTCGTTTTTTCAGAAAAGTGTCGGAATTAAAAGCCTCCTTAGCTCAATGTCAAATTGCCAAGAATGAAACTTTGGACAATATGTTATATACCCGTAGGCAATTTGGGAAGTGTATGGAGAGTCGTTTTCGAGAGAAACGAGTCAAAATGGAAAAAGTCAAACAACTTGTGGAAACCATTTATGACACTATATTGGATGTGCTTAACTTAAACTGATTTTCTTGATTTTGTAAACATTTTTTAAAATTTTTAAAAGTTTGATATAAATATTTGGTAAACAACAGCATTTTTAGAATTTTTAACCCATTAAAAGCCTTTTTATATAATTTTTATTACCTTTTTACATCTGGTTAGCATTAAAATTTTCAAAAATTAAAAAAATCAATAAACTCAAATAAACCATTAGACTTCCCACTAAAACTAACTCCACCTCTGAGTTTGACAAATAAAATCAAGTTATTAAGTTGTTCAAATAATTCTGGGCCCCTAACCCACCAAATTTGCTTTGAAAAACGCGCAAGATTACTTGAACAACCTAAAAAAATCAATTTACAATAACTATTCGAAACAAGAACAATAAAATATGTAAATTTAGAATGCCTAATCAAAATAATACCCAAAAAGATAGTTATAGACCAATATCTCATTTAAAATGGCAGACTTAACTCTAAGCTTCCGAGACTTCAAACAATTCTATTATCTCAACATCAGCTATATCTTTTGGTGTTAGACCATCATTGCATTTATGTTCTGGGTCCAAGCCTTTAGCCAGAAGGTATTGCACCACTTCAAAATGTCCATTGCTGGCTGCTAAAATTTGTTTTTATTAGTTTAGGTAGATTTTGGTAAAACATTGTTTTAGGTAACACTTTAAAGGGAAAACATATTCAGCGTATTTTACTTCTAAACAAACATATTTTACTTTAAAACCCCAGTAACCAACATCCAAAGTACCTAAAACCGAAAAATTTAACAAAACCTTACCATAATGTAAAACAGTTTGCCCTGCAGTATCTTGTTGTTTTAGAGAAGCTCCAAGGTCTATTAAGCTATTCAATATGTCAAGCTGACCAAAATCTGCTGCGTGATGAATTGGGTATATCTGAAAACGCACAAAAATATATTAACTTCTCCATTATTCAACCATTACGCCAAGAAACTTTTCAAAACTTTGAAAAATAATGTTAACATCACTTGTAACAAAAGTTTTTGTTTGTAAACCGTCATTTTAGTTTCATAGTTAACCCAAAAACAAAACAAAAGATAAAGAATGTCCTACCCCTTCCATATGAGTCTCTAACAACTCAGGCCTTGCCAAAATTAAGTTCTTGACTTCTTCCAGATTACCTTCTCTTATGTAGTCAACCAATTGAACTAGATCTCCATCAACAAATTCTGGGTCATCTTCAATCTCCTTCTAAAATCTTCAATATATTCTAGTTAACAATATTGCACCAATAAATTTTATATCTAACGTCGGATTATAAGAAAATTACATTATCTTACCAGACGGCTAGATACACCTTTAGAGAACCCACTACGAGCTTTTGATGGCGCTGCTTCTGGATCAAATCCTATATTTAGTTCAACAACCTTGTCAACATATTGCTGCATCAAATCTGAATCAGAATACCCATATAAAGAAGCTAAACCGAGAGAGACTCGAGGATGAAGAATGTACTCAGCTGGACCTAAAACAATATGATTTTTATTTTGTTGCTAATCGGAAATTATTAATCCGTTTCTTGCACTATACATCTTCATTAATATCTGCAGCATGTTTTAGTAAACAAAGAATTTAGCGGCCTAGTCTTTATAGTTATAGCGAAACCCATTCTTCCCATGCACTTTGAACCCTAAAACAACAAAAATAAACAAAAAACTTACTCAATGGCCTCCTAATCTTCTTGTACCTCAAATACAAAAAGCTCTGGTCCTCTGGCTTGATTTGCAATGTAAAATTCGTGGCTACACAGAACACAGCCTTCTCAAACTTGTCAATGAGATCCTTCGATGGCGTTTCATGCACTCCAAGATATGGTTTCAACGTTTGCGACAATTGAATAACAAACATTATGCACTAAATATGCAAAAAAACAACAGCTAAACAGGCGAAATTAGCATAACAACAAGTCTTGACGTCAATTTCGTTATTTTTCGGCTTCAAAAATATTTTTCATTAGAAAAACAGCGGAATGTCCGCAAAGTTATCGGAATTTAAGCGAAGTGTCAACTTTTAATTTTTATTTATTTTATTACGTTTATTGTTTTGTTCACAATATTTTGCGGCAAAACGACGCCCAAATGCTGAGCTAACATTATATTTTTGTGGAATTATATTGTCAAGATCTGTTGACAGCTGATTTAGCTAATATAACGGCTAATTTGGCAAAAACATCGGCGGAAAATGAAGATTTTGCGGAAATATTTAGAGAAAAATGGATCTGGGTAAGTTATAATACAGTCTTTTGGCATGTTACTTGAAAATTTAGGTCAGTAACTTTGATCTGCGAGGAAGAGGAAGATGTTTGGCATGTTTATAACTTGGTAAGAGTTGGGGATCAGGTCAGATGTTCGACTGTGAGGAAGGTTACTCAAGAGACGCAGACCGGATCGAAGAGTTCCCAGCGAATGCATGTGACTTTAACTGTTGTTGTGGAGAATATAACTTACGATCCGAGTGTTTGTGTTTTACATTTGAAAGGTAAAAGATTTTCGTTTATTTTTCCTTAATTTAGGTATCAAATTTCACAAAAAATGATCATTATCTTATAGTAGACATCAACTATCTCTTTTTAGGCAAAAACATTCAAGAAAATGAACATGTCAGGATGGGAGCATATCATACGTTGGACATCGAGCTGCAGAAGAAGTTCACTTTGGCCAAACAAGAATGGGACATAATAGATTTGGAGAGATTGGAGATCTGTGCTGATGTGAGCCATTCAGCTGATGTTGGAGCGATTGTAATGCACGAGGGCTTGGCCAACGTTTGTTTATTGACTAAATCAATGACTGTGGTCAAAGCTAAGATTGATATGAACGTATGTTTATTCTTTGTTGAGTTTTTTTCTGCTTTTAGGTTTTAAAACGTTTAGAAAATATTGTTATAGGAGAATCAGTCATGTTTAATATAATAATTCACCGTTATTTGGCTATATTTTTTTGGTTTTAATAAATATTATTGTAGATAGCAAAAAAAAGGAAGGGCTTTTCACAACAACATGACAAGTCCGTGGAAAAGTTCTTCAACGCCGTGGTCTTGGCTTTCGTAAAGCATATGAACATGGAGCAGCTTAAATGTGTTATAGTGGCGTCTCCGGGCTTTTTAAAGGAAACTTTTATGGAAAAGCTGTTGGAACATGCTGGCAATAATAACTTGAAAGATATTACTCAAAATAAAAGCAAAATATTACTTGTTCATGCGACTAGCGGATATAAACATGCGCTGAAGGAGATATTGGCCGATCCTAATGTTGCTTCAAGGCTTGCTGATACTAAGGTGAGTTAGATGACTTTATATAAAAAAGTGTTAAAGAATATAGTGTTATTAACGATATTTTTTAATAACGCTTTGACATATATATTTTTAAACATTAAAATTTGGGGGCTTTTATATTGTACATGATGTTTTAAGTGTTCCAAAGTAAAAGGCTCGTAACGTTTTATTTGTTGAAGCTAGAGAAATGAATCTTTGCGCAAATAATGGTCAATATCTTCTTCACAGGAATCCAAATTTTTAAATTCATACTTAAACTTTAGGCCCAAGAAGAAGTGAAAGCCCTGGACACCTTCCTCGACCTAATGAACAACGATCCCGATCGTGCTTTCTATGGCTACAACCACGTGCGAATAGCGTTGGACCAACTAGCTATAGCCACATTGATGGTATCTGATCTACTGTTCAGGTCGAGAAACATAGAACAACGTAAGAAGTACGTGAAACTTGTGGATGATGCCAGAAATGCCAATTGTAATGTACTCATCTTCTCTTCAATGCATGTTACTGGAGAGCAACTTGGACAACTAACTGGAGTCGCAGCGATCTTAAGGTTCCCATTGGAGGGGGTGGATGACACTTTCGAGGAGGATGAAGAGGTGCTAGATCTGCCTGATGAGCATTGGACTGATCCGGACCAAATGGTCAATACCACTATGTCACCTGAACCGGTGATGTAAAGATGTTATTGTATAGTGAAAGTTTGTTTTTGTTATAAAGTTTTAAAAAGGTGTGGGTGGGTTTTTGAAAATATTTTCTTCTTGTTATAGGCGTTTTGAAAAAAAGTTTGGTAACTACCTATTAGGAAAATAAAAATGAAAATCTAAAAAAAAAAGAAATTCATAAACATTTTACAAAGTTTTGACGTTTTATAGAGCACAGTAAATTTATTATGTTACTAAGCAACATGGTATGTTGAAAACATGTAAAACATAAACAGTTAAATAGGTACAAAATTAGTAAAACTGTTTTGTTGTTAAGGTTTTTATTATATTTTTACAGATTTTGATAGCAAAAAGACGAGGTAATAGGGGTTTTCTTGAAGGGTAGGACAAATTGAAGTAGGTGTTAGGGTATGGTGAGGTAAGAAAGAAAATGGAGGGCTGGGTAGGGTAGAGTAGTTTAGTGCAAGGTTTTGGTAAGTTTTGGGCGGGACTAGAGTAGGGTAGGATAAAGTAGGGTAGGGTAAGGTAAGGTAGGGTAAAGTAAATTAAGGTAGAGTAGAATACGGTAGGACAGGGTAAGGTAAGCAAATTAGGGCAGAGTAAATTAATACCTCGGCATGACTAGGGCTTGACTAGACTAGGATATGGCTTAGGGTATGGTAAGCCTAGTCTAGTCAAAGAGTAGAGTAGGGCAGTTTAAGGTAGAGTGGGCTAGGGCGGCACTAGAGTAGGGTAGGATAAGGCAGAGTAGGGCAGGGTAGGGTAGTTTATGGTAGTATAGGGTAGGGTATTGTAGGGTATGATAGAGAAGAGTAAGGTAGGGCACGGTAAAGTAAAGAAACCCCATTATGCTACTACAATATTTTATTTTAATATTTTTATACTTGTGTAAAGCAAATTTGATATTATAAAACCTATTAAAATGACTCACTTTTCCGCATAGCAGTCTACATATAATAATAATACAAAAGTCATGTAATACTAACGTTATCGCATTGTTCCGCAAAGGTTAAAAATTTGTAAGTAACGGAACTGATTTACAATAAGGGAGTGTTAATAACTGTGATCAATGCTTTGTATCTTTTTTTTTTATTTTTCAGTTGATAACAGGATTACATATAAATTTTGATTGTTTTTTTCAAAACAACCTTAATTTAGGAGCTGTCATTATCATAAACCATTTTTCTTGGCTTCATCATATACTATAATATATTGCACTAGCGGCTTTAAAATCGCATTTTAAGCCTGAAGATAAAAGAAAGAAAATGAAAATTAAACCTCAAATCTTTCCTATTGCTACAAGTTTATGTTGTGCTACTAGCTTTGTTAGTGGGTAAGTTCAAAGAGGTTTTAATAGCTAAGAAATTTTTGAGCTAGGCAATGGTAGGGCAGGTAAGAGCAGGGTAGGGTACTAAAAAGCAGATTAGAGCTGAGGAAGGTAAGATAAGGTAAGGTAGAGCAGAAATGAGCTTGTGGCAAAAAACGTAGGGCTAGAGCTGGAGCTAGGGCCAGAGCTAGAGCTTGAACTTGAGACAGAGCTAAAACTTGAGCTAGAGCTAGAACTTTAGCTAGCGCTAGAGTTAGAGCTAGAGCGAGAGTTAGAGCTAGAACTAGAACTTGAGCTAGAGCTATGGCTAAAGCTAGAGCTAGAGTTAGAGCTAGGGCTCAGATTGGAACTAGGATTAAGACTAGGAGTAAAAGTAGGGGTATTTGACGAATGGCAAGAACTTTGTGTACAACACATAACATGACAATTTTAGGTATGTAATAAATGTCATACTGGACAAATCAGAAGCCTGGATATCAAAAATCAGCGATGGAGGTGGTGTGATGCCTGCTAGTGGCGTTTTTGCCATTTTTCTTAATCTTGGAGTTTTTAATTGTAAGGCTACTATTAAAATTTCAAAATTGAAGTAAAATACGAAATATGGAATAGTCAATGTTAATTTTGGTTTTGAACTCCAAAAATGGCTCTTAAACTTTTCAAATTACAAAAAACTCGCCAAAACTTTTCAAATTTCAAAAATTTTGCTAAAATTTTTTTTTAAAATTAATTTTTAGGGCTGTTAACAGGCTTCTTTGTTCACATAAGCCTATCACAACACATTAAAAAGCATTCTAATCACAATTCAAAGCTACATTACGTATTATACTACATGGTATTCCTATGTATAACATCAGCAATAGGTCTACTGTTAGTAGCTGCTTTTCCAATTACTTTATTACGAAAAGTTCATGGCCTTGCAGCTACTGTAGCATTTTTGAATGGATGTTTATATTTATGGGTTAACGTGCTGTTTTTGATGTTTTATCGACCAAGGTTGATAGCTTTTTGGATAAGTGTTGGTCAACTTGTTGGAGTTGTGTTTACCAGTTTTTGCGTTTTTACACGTGAGTTTTCAAATTTTTTAAATGGAAATGCAATATTTTTGTTTTTAAAGTCTGAAAAGAAAGTCTTTGCAATTTTATGTTTTGTAAAGAAAGTTCTTGCCAATTTTACGTTTTGTAAAGAAAGTTCTTACCATTTTGTTGAAAAACAGCAATGTATTGTGTTCGGCAGTCTGCGGATGGCAAGTTATATGATAAATAACATGTAAACAGCCTGTCATTTAATTTTTGTTAATGTAAAATACGATATTGTCTTCTGTTTTTTTATATATTAAGTGCCGACATAAAGAATCCGCCATACTTGTTCTGTAACCTTTTGTAAAAAATGGCGGGTTTTTTATGTCGGCACCGAATAAACCTAGTATTTTAACAGCATTTTTAAAAATAATTTTAGATGTTCTTCTTGGAAACAGTAAATTATTTGTAAGCGAAGTAAATGGCACAAGACCAGACAAACCCCAATATAAAATCGACCAACTTGTTCGACTTCGTCCGGGTGATCCGGTAAGTGAAAAATAGTTAAAAAATTTTTTTGTTATTATTTCTTTTGTAAAATACGAAAATGTTCTTGATGATAAATGTAATACGTATATCCTTTTTCAAACTTTGAGTTACAGTAGAACTCCTGTACAACGAATCGCTCAAAGGTCTTAAATTTGTTTGGTATGAAGGAGTTTTGTTATATATATATAATAGCAGTTTCAAATGCACTGTGTCATGTCAGCTAAGGATTATAAAACTGTTGATTACACTGAAATTTTGTTAAAGAAGAGCTCGTTATACAATTGTTCTACTGTAACTTTTTTTTAGTTTTATTTTTAAAATTTTTTTTCAAAAAATTTTTTCAGTACTACATGAACAACATGATTGGATCAATAACAGAATGGCTATTAGCACTAGGATTTTGCCTTATAACAGCTTCATTTGCCTTACAGCTTCCGACATATGAACTCGCACTGATACTTAGAGTTAAAAAGGCTTATATTTGTAAAGTGCATATTGAAAAAGAATAAAAATTTGATTTTTAATATTGTAATCGTCATCAAAATTTATTTTTTTAAATTTGTAACGGCGGAACTCCTGTATGACAAATTGCTTGCGTTTAAAGATTTTCTGGCTGCGCCCAAGCTAGTGCAGGCTGCGTACAACAATTTATATGCTGAAAAAGTTAAATATGCGTTATTTTGTAATGAAAAGTTTTAAAATTTTATTTTTTAGTTCTATTGCATTGAAAATGTGAATTAATTAGCGTATAAAAGCATGAACAGCCGCGTCCGACCTTACGCAGGCTGCAGAACAATTTACTATGTTTTCCCGTACCAAAATAGCCAAATCTATCCTATCGTACCCTATTCTTACCCACTATACCATACTTAACTTTATTCTACCCTACTTCAGGTCCTACCCTACACTCATCCTACTCTAGTCCCGCCTTAGCTATGCCGAGGCTCTGCTCTGCCCTACCATACCCTACCTACCCATCCTTTACTAAAACTTTACAGATTTTTTAAAATTGTAGTTTTATCTTGGTAAATGGTGTAAAATGCTACATACACAATAAAAAAAACTTTCAAAACTGAGTTTCAATATATTATACTTGCCCGATGTTAAGTATCTAAGCAACCAACCCAGCGCGAGATTTTTTCGAAGAAAAATTCTCTGAATTCTATATATTTTTAAAGGTTTTTTAATTCTTCGAAGCCTTACATTGTTATTTGTTACTATGAGAGCTGTTATTTTTAATTCTTTACATTTTATTTTTACTCTGTAATTTATAAATTTGGTTTTAATTATGTCGAGGCGGGAAAAAGAGCCTAAAACAACATCAAAAAGTGGTTCTAGTAGGCGGAAAGAAAATGGAAGAAGGTGAGTTAATATTAAAAATTTTTTTTTAAAGTTTAGGTAAATACTGTGATAAAGGAGGGGTAAGATTAGATTAATAAAATATAAGAATATGGTGCAGCTGGGATAGATATTTAAAAAGAGACAAGCCGAGCCCTCGTTTTTGCCACAAGGCAAATGTAGCAGGCTGCTTTACAAGCCTATGTTACGAAAAAAGTATGGTAAAGCTAAGTTAAACTTAGGCTACAAAAAAACTATGATAAGACTAAAGTAGAGCAAAACAAAATGTAAGACTAAACTAAGTTGATACTAGGGTAGATAAATCTACGATAAAGCTAAGGTGGGGTTAATATAAACGAAGGTAAGACAAAGTTAGGTCTAAGATAAAGAGAAGGTAAAGCAAGGGTAAGGCTAAACTAGGGCTAGAATATGGCAACGGAATAACTAACATAGAACTACAGAAAGGTTACGATGCGACATAGAGAAAGGTAGAGATAAGATAAAGATAGGAAAAGGTAACGCTAAGTAGAACTAAAACAGGCCCAAGCTAAAGCAAGGGTACGATAATATAGGACTATGGGTGAACTAAGTAAGATAAGGCTAATATAGAACTAGCGTAATATTATCGTAAGGTTAAAACAGAGAAATAAATTAGGGCTAGAAAAAGCTAGAGAACGGTTCTAATGGATATAAGTCAAAGTTAAGCTTTAATTCTATAGAGCTGAAATTTAAAGTAACATCAAGTTTTATATCTTAATTACCCATTGCGGAGAACATAAATTTTCATCTCAAAAATGCATTTCCAACCACAAAACAGCCAAAAACTTAGAAATTTTTGATGAAAAAAGTGATTTTCAACTGAAAATATGTGTATTTCGGGGTAAAGATGGGTTTTTTCAAACATTCTTAAAGGACCAGTTCGCCCATTCAAATATCATTGGCATTCTGTCGCAAAAAGCGTCGAAAATCAGGCAATTTCAATCAAAATCATTTTTCTCAAAAAACGTGAGTGGGTCGGTGTCGAAATGAATTTTCTAATTTGGGACCGATCTTCTCAGGTTTTTTGCAAAAAAAATGAACGTCGAATTTTTGCGACAGAATGCCAATGATATTTGAATGGGCGAACTGGTCCTTTAACGATCTTCATATGCACTCTAAAATCCCAAAATTCTTCACAAAAAATACACATTGGCCATAATTCCTCCGTACCAAGTTTGGTATTTCAGCCATCCTTCAAAATGAATTACAAATTTTTAAAATCCTGCAAATTTCTTGGGACACCCTGTATTTTCAGTGAAACCAAGCCAAAAACATCATCATCAAGAAGCAAAAGTACTGAAAATGGTTCAAACAAATCAAAAAGTAAGAATTCTGAAGAAAAATCAAATGGCAAAGCGTCATCAAAGATAGCTACTTCCTCCAGTACAAAGCCTAGTACATCAAAAACAACTTCTTCTACTAAAAGTTCAACTAAAACGTCTAAAACAATTTCATCAACCAATGAAAACTCAACTGTCAGCTTAAAATCACCCTCAAAAACATCATCTACATTAAGTTCAAAGCCATTATCAACTAAAACAGCCAGCTCCAATGGCTCTACACGACCAGAAAGACCATCAACTAAGTCATCACGGTCTTCTTCAGGCTTTTCTGATGACATTAATACCCAAAAAGGCTTCGACAACCCAATAAAACAAAGCCAAAGGCCAAATAGTGGTATTGTAAATGGATATACCAACAACTATAGCTCCAGAAAGAGAGTACCAAGCGATCTAAGCAGCCAGACGATTCATGAAGAAGATCAGGATAAAGAGACTTTGGATGACATTTCGACCCAACGGTCGATCAACCCAATCAGTGAAGCTGAAGAGTACCCAGATGACTTTGAAGAATACGAAGACGATTTTGAAGAAGATTCTGAAGATGACGATGATGACAAACATGATGAAGACACTAAAAATGAAAGTCAAAGTCAATATACGACGAAGATTAACAAAGAAAATGACGTTAAAAGTAGTACCAATAGTACCAAAAGTACCAATGGTTACGATGACAAAATACAAAAACGACCATTCAAGGAAGAACTGATGGATGATTCGCCAAGAGCTTCCTCGTCCTCTAGCATGACTCCAAATGTCAGCAATGATGTTGGCGATTCATTGCTACTGAAGAGGATTATGCAGCCAAGAACGGTTGAGAACACTGTCAATGGGAGGCCTATTACTGCGCAGAGAATGAGTAAGATTTTAAACCAATGTGAATTTTTTTGGCTCAGGCTCAGGCCCATGCCCAGGCCCAGGCCCACCCCCAGGCCCACCCCCAGGCCCAGGCCCAGGCTCAGGCTCAGGCTCAGACTCATGCTTTGGCTCAGGCTCAGGCTCAGACTCGGACTCAGACGCAGACTCCGAATCAGACTCAAGCTCAGACTCAGGCTCAATCTTAACCTTAAGCTCAGGTTCAAGCTGAGGCTATGGATAAAGCTAAACTTAAAGTGCAATTTTTATTATTTTTGATATTATTTTAGACACTTCAATGCCCCGTCCAACGACAGCTCAAAACCGAACTTTTCAAATTGGCAGTGTAGCCACTGTGGATTCAGAATCTTTGCAAAAATCAGCTGCTGTTTATAGAAAGTTGAGGTCGGAAGGCAATTTGAGTATCGAAAAGGTTGTCAGTATCGACTTTCCATCAAATCGACGATCAGAATTGTACAATAAAATTGTTGAAGAAGGGGTCAAGACTCAGGTAAGCAAGGGTAAAGGTGATGATTCAGGCGGGGAAGAGATTTTTGTTACCTAAAATACTATTTTTTGTCATTTGTTACCTAATATTCAACAAAAAACTAATATAACCTTATAGAGATACACCCAAACCGGTGAAGACAACTTTGAAAACGAGACCCAAACAGATGTCATGGATAACATCGAAAAAGAGACACAACATCCGGAAAAATCACAATTATCGACTAGTAATACGACCACAGATACAAAAATGTCACAGGGTTCAAGTCGAAAAATATCGACCATAAATCAACTTGGTCAAATAAAGAATCAACCGAAATTCAAGCCAAATGTCACGCAAATGAATAGGTTTTTGGATATCGCTGGGAGGGTAGGTTAAAGTTAAAACTGAAGCCAGGGCTGGGGGTGGTAGCAACGAGGAACGTGCTGCTTGTCAGCCTTGGTTCAAACTTAAGTTGAACCGGCCTGAAAATCAAAGCCCGGCCAAAAAAATCGGCCGGTTTGTATGTAAAAAAATTCAAACCGGGCTTGGACTGAGCAAAATTTAGATCCGGCTGAATCTAACATTCAGGCTTGGCCTTGGTTAGAGGCTGGCTAAGCCAAATGATCAAGCTCAAGCTTAGGCTCAGGCTCAGGCTCAGGCTCAGGCGCAGGCTCAGGCTCAGGTTCAAGCTCAAGCTCAGGCTCAGGCTCAGGGTCAGGCTCAGGCTCAGGCTCAGGCTCAAGCTCAAGCTAAAGCTCAGACGGCTTAGGCTGACACTAAAAGTTTTTAAAATTGAATTAAAAATGACATTTTCAGACAATGTTATCTTTGCTTGCTCAAGACCAACCTACATCAAGTGCCTTGTTTCATATGCCAATGAAGACGACCCTCGACTTTGCCACTGGCTATATGGAGTTCCGATTGCCTAGTAGTGTAGCTGAAGGTAAAATACGTTTGCAAAAACTTGTTCTTTAAAGTTTATTACCTAAAATTTTAAATTCAGAATCAGAATCAACATCAATTTGTATTCACCCAGTCAATAAAAATCGACTAGCCGTGACATTTTACGTTATCAAGTCGACAGAGACAAACAATTTTTTAACTGATCATACTGTCGTTGTGGAGTATAACATGGATGATCAATCAAAGCCTAGAACGTAAGTGTATTAGCCTTCCCTAGCCAGAGCCTTAGCCCAGATCTCTAGCCCAGAGCCCTAGCAGAGAGCCCTAGCCCAGAGCCCTAGCAGAGAGCCCTAGCAGAGAGCCCTAGCCCAGAGCCCTAGCAGAGAGCCCTAGCAGAGAGCCCTAGCCCAGAGCCCTAGCCCAGATCTCTAGCTCACAGCCCTAATCCAGAGCCCTAGCCTAGAGCCCTAGCCCAGAGCCCTAGCCCAGAGCCCTAGCTCAGAGCATTAGCCCAGAGCCCTAGCCTAGAGCCTTAGCCTCGCTTAGCCAATTTGAAGCTTAGTCCAAGCCTTGTCTAAGCTTATCATATGCCTAGTCTACGTTTAGCTCAGTCTCGCTTAAATCTATCCTAAGCTCTAGCATGGCGCTGACTCAGCTTTAGTTGCAGCCTAAGCCTAAGTTTAACCTAGCCTAGCCAATTTTAAGCTTAAATTCAGTTTATGTCTAACCGAAGTTAAGCATAAGTTTAGTCTAAGCCTAGTCGAGTTTAAGCCTGAATTTTGCCCTCAGTTTTATACTTCTAACTTTAGCTTATACACCACCCCAAACAAAGTAACATCAATATGTTATTCATTAGATGGAACAACGGCTATTTTCGCTGGCCTAGCTGATGGATCTTGTGTTTTATGGGATTTGTCGGAATCTGAAGCTAATTTTGAAAATGTCATTGTATGGCCAGATACTCGAAGAGTTTATTATGCAAGATTACCATCGTATGACACATCGTATATGGTACTCAATGACAGAATGAAGTTGAAGTTTACTGACAAAGTAGATTGTCCTATTATTAGGTGTGGGGCTGTTAAAAGCAATGTTAAAACGTAAGTTTCAGTGCTGGTTTGGGGGTTAAAATTTGAAAATTTTAAGTTGGAAAAAATTTGTTAAAATTTAAAAAATAATTTTTAAATTTCAAAAAAAAATTCAAATTAAAAACAAATTTAATATTTAAAAAAAAATTAAAATATCAAAAAAATTTGAAAATTCAAAAAACATTTTAAAATTTCAAAATAAAGAAAACTTAAATTTCAAAAAAATTTTTTAAATTAAAAAAATATTTTAAATCCTAAAAAATTTAAAATTAAAAAAAAATTTTTTTTTCAAAATTTAGTTTTTTTTTTGGTTAATACAAGTTTTTTATCTTCCAGAGTACAACAACAATTCATAACAGCAGACTCACGTGGTATAATAACAACTTATGGCCTCTCATCAGCCTCAACCTCCAACTTTGAGCACGATTTAGGCTTGAGAGTTGGAGCTAGACTGTTATTGTTAAAGTTGTCAACCACAACTTGTTTAGGCCCTTCGGCCATTTGTTATTGTGCTGATTTTAATTTTGATTCTTCTTATCAGATTTTGGTCGGAAGTTCTGATGGAATTGTCAGAGTTAGTCGAGGCGAAGAGAATGGACGGAGTAGTATTAGGAAGTATGGCAGTGGTGGGTTTTTTGAACAGAATTATGGTTTATTATCATAGTCTATACTAATAATAAGTTTAACTTTTGTATTTTTTCAGGCTTAGTAGGTTGAGCGTCAGCAGTGTTAGGCTTAGTAGGCTTAAGCTTAGCAAACTTATGTTTAGTAAACTTATACTTTGTAGGCTTAAGACAGCACAAGTGAGCAAAGTACGTTTAAATTAAGCAAGATTAGGCTTAGGCTTTGTAAGCTTAAGTTTAGTTAGCAAAACTAGCCTTAGGCCAAACAGGCTTAAGTGTACCATGCTTGGGCTAATTAAACTTAGATTTTATAGCCATGGGCGTAGTGAGCTTAGACGGCTTAGGCTTATCAGGATTGGGTTAGTGATCTTAAGCTTAGTAGGCTTATACAAGCCTTTGTACTTAAGAAGCTTACGATTAATGGTTTGAGGTTTAGTATTTGTTGACTTATTAGATTTAAGCTTAGTATACCTAAGCTTATTAGGCTTAGACTTTGTGGCTTTAAGCTTGTTAGGCGTACGCCTTATAAGCCTAATTAGTAATTTTAAGCATAAAACTCGAAAAGTCAGTAGATTAGGCTTAGTGAGCTTCAAAAACAAAAAAAGTATCGGTTAAAAAGAGCCGATCACTTACTGTAATATAAATTTTTTTTTCAGATTTTGAGTGCAACTTCGTATCAGTTGCCTTTTCGCCTTTTGACAGCTCCATTTTCGCTGTAAGTTTTTATTTTAAAAAATTTTTTAAGAAAAATTTTTATTTTTTTTGTAAAATACGTATTCTAAAACATTACTAAAGAATAGTATAGTTAATATGTAATAGGCAGCTACAAGTCTAAACGAGATCAATGTGTACACTATCAACGACACCAAGCCATTGTTAACAATAGGAGTTGCTCGATCTGGAATGATTTGTCAAATGAAATGGTCAGAAAAGTAAGTGCAACATGTTTTCTATTGAAATTGAACTAGGCTTGTGAAAGGAATCCAACTTTTTAAACCAGCGAGAAAGGGGACTAGGCCTGGCTCGGCCGGCCTTCAGTTAGAACTGGCTGGAGCAAAGAAAGTTTGAAAGGAGCCGGACGGAGGCCCAAGCCGTGGCCTGGTGAACTACTTCAGTTCCATTGTCAACACGTATTTAAAAACGTGTAAAAAATTTTAAAATTTAAAAATTTTTTAGAATTCCAACGTTAATTCACGCTCTGTATGAAAATGGAAACTTTGCCAATTTCAAACTGGACCAACCTTCACTGGAAAAGACCCGATTAGCCAAGCTTACTGATTGCGACAAAGTGATTGACTTTAACGTATGGGCGGACGACCGTGGGTTCTCTTATATGGTACGTTATAATGTTTTTTTAGTTCAATAGACAAACCCTAAGCTAAGTTTCTAAGCTCTGGCCTCTGGGCTATGGCACTGTCTGGGCTCTGGGCTCTGGGCTAGGGCTCTGGGCTCTGGGCTCTGGGCTCTGGGCTTTGGGATCTGGGCTCTGGGCTAGGGCTCTGGGCTCTAGGCTAGGGCTCTGGACTAGGGCTCTGGGCTAAGGCTCTGGGCTAAGACTCTGGACTAGGGTTCTGGGCTAGGGCTCTGGGCTAGGGCTCTGGGCTAGGGTTCTGGGCTAGGACTCTGGGCTAGGGCTCTGGGCCAGTGTTTTGCCGGACCGGTCCGGATGAGAATTTTTTCGGTCCGGTCCGGTCCGAAAAATTTTCGGTCCGGTCCGGTCCGGAAAATTTTTTTTTATCCTTAAGAAAAGCCAGGAGCGCTCAAACTGCTTTCTTTACGTTTAAAAACTCTTAAAAATATGTTTTATTTGCAATTTTTAAAACAGTTTTATTAAAATAAAAAAAAATTTTTTTTCCGGACCGGTCCGGAACTTTTTTTTCGGTTCGGTCCGGTCCGGAAAATTTTCGGTCCGATCCGGCTCTATTTTCTCTTGGTCCGGTCCGGACCGGACCTCGGTCCGGACCGGACGGGTCCGGCAAAACACTGCTCTGGGCTAGGGCTCTGGGCTAGGGCTCTGGGCCAAAGTGAGGGCTTAATTTATTATATCTTGTCTATTTTCAGAGCCTAACAACAGGTACAAACCAGCTACTAGTGTATGGACTAGAAACCCCACCTTCTGGTAACGGGCGTGCCAACGAGTTTTTTGAAAAACTAAAACGCCACTTTTAACAAGCACAATACAAATATTAAAATACGGGAATTTATTCGTAGTAAAACGTTATATAATGCAAAATTCGATATAATGAAAAAAGTGAATATAGTTGTGAAATGTTATGGTAAGATAAAGAAGATAATCAAAAAACCATGTCTACAAAAAGGAATATAGAGTAAGATGTAAAAAGGCATCAAAGTTGTTTATTCTATAAAAATTTTAGTTAACATTAAAATTTGAAATAGTATTTTTTAGGCTATGTTATATAAAATAGCATTTTTTCAATATGAAAAAAGTTTTTTGTGCTAATTTGAAAAAATAAGTTTATGTTATCTTGAATTATGTTAGTACAATAAATAGTGCAAATATGTTGTAATATAAAAGATTATACTGTAATATAAAGATCATAAACATCAAAATAAAAAAAAATAATTAAAAAAAACGTAAAAATTTTATTAATTTATAAATAAAAGGCAAACATATAACTATATATTTGGTTGAACCAAAAGTAGCGGGACACTTTTAATGTATTGTTTAACCAAAATGGGTCCCGTTAATTTTGGTTCAATTACATATTATCACAAAAGCATAAGGTCAATATATATGTATCTACAAACTCCAGCAAAACTCCTGTATAACAAATAGCTTGAATGTTACTTTTGTACGTTATAAAAGAGTTTTGTTATACAAGAACTTAATGATTAATGTAGTGTTAGCTAGAAACAAGTCGTTTGTTATACAGATTATATCACAACGGAAAAGTCAACAGATTGGATGATTTTGAAGTATTGTTCGTAGCGTTTCGAAGCATACTGTATGTAATCAAAGTCGATTTCTGAGTCTTGAGCTTGTACTAGACCCCATACACACCACAACAAGTGGGAAGCCTTAAAATATTAATTTATTGATTTTGACATTTCGTCACATTTTTGAATAATTTTCGTGACGTATAGTCGAATTTCCAAAAAACTATTTTAAAAGTGCTATTAAAGTTTTAAAAGTCATTTTTTGTTGGTCATAATGTTTTTGAACATTTGTGACACTTTTTCAATAATTTTTGTGACATTTCGTTACACTTACAAAAAACCAAGCAAAACTTCTTAAAATTGTTATAGAAGCTTAAAAAAAATTTTTTCCCAGTTATAAAGTTTCTAAACCCTGTTTTCTTTTGAGTTTGATTTGTGACACTTCGTCCCATTGTCCAATAATTTTTGTGACATTTCGTTAAATTTTCAAAAACCCAAGAAAAACCACTTTTCAATAATTTACCGCTTCAAAAGTCGGAATATCAGCCAAAACTTTTTCGATTTCTGCCCCATCCACCTCTCTACCATGGTAACTCTGTAGATACGACTGTACAAACGTATATTTTTGCTCATCAGTTGGGCACAAGTCATAGTTAATGTTATCCACGCCAGCATATTCATTAAAATGGTTTGCAATGTCGAACAATTGATAGTTGGCACCAGTATATTCGTAGTCGATAAAGTTGATCGAATCTGTTTTCTCATCATAGAGCACGTTGTAGATGAGTAGATCGTTGTGGCAGAGCACGATGTTCTGATTGGCGGCACGATCAATGGCTGCGGCTACACGATTGAAGTCACGTTCGAAGTTGGCGTCGGCGAAGAGGTGTTGAAACTTTTGGAATTTCTCTTTGTTTGGCCATTGGGGTGGGATGTTGTTGATGAACTGGTGGAATTTGGTGTGGAAGAAGGATGGAGAAGATTGGGCATCGGAGGAGATAGGGATCTTGTGAAGATCTGCGATTCTTGATGCTATTTTTCTAAAATTTTTAAAATAAAATGAAAGAAAGTTCTACCCTACCCTACCTTACCCTACCCTACAATACCCTACCCTATTCTACCCTACCCTACCCTACCCTACCCTACCCTACCCTACCCTACCTTACCCTACAATACCCTACCCTACCCTACCCTACCTTACCCTATCCTACCGCACCTTAACCTAGCCATAACCAGGGCCGGGCGCGAGGGGAAAGACGGGTACCACCCCCAGAAAAAAATTTTCGAAAAAATTTGAACGTGGTAGCCCCTGTTGATTTTTTGGACCCCTGCCCCCAGACCAAAAGTCCCCGCCCGGCCCTGGCCATAACGTTACCATCCCTTGCCTTACCCCACTCATGTATTTACCACAACCTGAACCTGCTTTACCCTAGCCTATGCCATATTATTTTAACCACCCTACCCTGTTCTGCTCCACTTTCCCTTTCCCGATCCTATATTACTTAACCAGCCTTACTCTAAATTATTTAAACTTCCCTGCCTCAAATTATCTACCCTGTCCTACCTTACTATAACCGCCTCTGTCTCAGTTCTGCGGTAATAAAGGCATCACTATTCAATTAATTTCACTTACGGCACAAATTTAGGGCTTCTAACGCTTTCCACATCAACCGGCTCTCCAGGTAGATATCCACAAACAAATCCATTTTTAAACCTGGCTTCAACCCCCGGTGCTAACCCATATTGACTTAACAATTCAAAGTTTTTCAATTCGCTGTTTCTGAAAATTAAAAAATATAATGACAAATATAAGAAGGAGCTTATACTATATAACCTTCGTTATAAATTTCGTATTTTACACAATCAAACCAATAAACTGAAGTTATTGAAAAACAGTGCTTAAACTTTCATTACAAAGTACTAAACCTCAAGAACTTTCTTTACAAAGTACTAAACCTCAAGAACTTTCTTTACAAAGTACTAAACCGCAAGAACTTTCGTTACAAAGCGTAAAATAGCAAGAACTTTCTTTACAAAACATAAAATGGCAAGAACTTTCTTTACAAAACATAAAATGGCAAGAACTTCCATTACAAGAGAAAAAATTTTGTTTATCATATAACATATAAACCGCAGGCTGCAGTACAAAAAATTTTGTTATTTTTTGAAGAAGGCAAGAACTTTCTTTACAAGGCATAAAATGGCAAGAACTTTCTTTACAGAACATAAAATTGCAAAAACTTCCTTTACAAAACATAAAACGGCAAAAACATTTTTTAAAAATCATGAAGTTGCAAAAACGTTCTTCACGGGCCATCTAATGACAAAAACTGTCTTAGCACGTCAAAAAATGACAAGAACTTTCTTTACAAAACTTAAATACTAAAAAAACTATCTTTACCAAAAAAGAAAAAAAACCTTCGTATAACTTGGGACTTGCAGTCTGCCAAACTCAACATTTTAACCGCACAGCAGTTCGGCTCGTATTTTACAAAAAATTTAAAAAAAGAACTTTTTTTAATTACAAGTTTTCAAATTTCCATAATTTTTAGCTTCCTTACCGGTCGACAACCTTCTCCGTCCCGACGCCAAATATTCTGAAGATGAGTTTTTCGTCCTTGCCGCCTTGAACGCTTATCACTTTGTTAGTGATGCCATTTGTGAATGGTTTATATATAACTTGATCCAGAAACCATTCTGGCCTCAGGGCTTTCAGTAGTGAGCCGATTTGAGTGAAAACGGCGTCTTCGGCCGTTCCGTCCACTCTTTGATCAATGTACTTCTCTTTTCGCACTGTCATTTTCTGAAAACAACAAATTTTAAAACTTTTTTGAACTCTATAATTTTTAAAATAAAGTACTGCCCCGAGATCACAATGAAAAAGTAAGGCCACAAAATCTCAAATTTAAAAAATTCACAATACACATTGAAAATAGCAACAAGGTAGTTAATATGACAGAAAATTGAGTTACATCGTATAACTTGTCACCAACAACTCGTAAAAGACATAAAATGTAAAAACAGAGCTGAAGTAACATAAGAAATGGCAAGAACTTTCTTTACAAAATAAGAAATGGCAAGAACATTCTTTACAAAATAAAAAATAGCAAGAACTTTCTTTATAAAGCGTAAAATGGCGAGAACTTTGTTTACAAAACATAAAATGAAATTTATCGTATAACTTGTCGCGCGCAGGCTGCAGGTACCAACTGATTTTAAATTTTAAAACTAAATAACAAAGTTTTCATAAAAAAGCAAGAACTTTTTTTACAAAGCATAAAACAACAAGAACTTTCTTTACAAATTGTGAAAACGCTATTAAATTCCTAAAACTTTAAAAATAACCTACTTGTTCGGCCATTCTGTCTTTTTAGGTATCAAATTTAGTATTTAGAAGTTTCTACTCAAATATAAACTATAAATTTAGTTCAATTTAAAATAGACAGTTCTTCACAAAAGAGTCCTGAAAACGAACTTTTATAATTGACGATATTATTGATAAAAATGATAAAACCGATTATCATTTCAGAGTTTCCAAAGTTCGTTTTTGATAAAAAGATCAGCGGTGGTTTGTGTTATGGAAGAATTATAATATATTATATATGAAGTTTAGAGTGAGGATGCAAAAACAAATTGCAATAACTTTCTTTACAGAACATGAAATGGCAATGACTTTCTTTGCAAAACATAAAATGGCAAGAATTTTCGTTACAGAATACAAAAAGCCATTTAACTTGTGAATTGCAAACCGCAGGCTGCAAAATGCTAATTTTAGAATATTTATGTGAGAAATAGCTAGAACTTTCTTTACAAAATCAAAAAGTCATCCAACGTTTAGATTTTGACCCGCAAGAAGCAAAAAGCTAGTTTGAAGATATTTCGACAAGAAATGGCGAGAACTTTCTTTACAATGTATAAAATGGCGAGAACTTTATTTACAATGTATAAAATGGCAAGAACTTTCTTTAGTAACCATAAAATGACTGCCAACGTATAAATCGTCACTCGCACGCTGCCAACGCAAACAAATCGTTAATTTTGTCATAAAAAAGTAGTATAAAGCCATATTTTAAAGTCCAAAAACTTATGAGCCAACAAAAAATGGGAACAAGAGCGACCGAGAATGCGTGGTCAAACGTGTAACACAACAAAAACAATAAACGACAATTTTACAAAACTTCCAGAAAGTTGTAGTCAATGGATACCAGAATTGTTTCTTTTGTAATATTTCTCTTTAAAAACGGTTTTTTAACATACGATAAAACAGTCAAAATGGTTCGAATAAGAAAGAAAAAAGTGTAAAAGATCAAGTTTATAAAAACGCAATGTAAAATACGAGTTGGGCCGGCACTTGTAAAGTGATTTAGCCAAATTTTTCAGCTTGTCTCGAGAGCCAGTCCTTGGTTGGGGCCCTGGTTCTCGGACCAACACAATGCTGACCGGCTCTTTAAAGTTAGTTTCAGCTCTTTCCACGACCAGGCCAATATAGGACTAAGCCCTTGAGAGCGACGTTCCAAGTCTGACTCGGATCAATACGTATCAAAATTAACATTACTCTTAAAGCCTAACTTTTAACCTTACATTTGATAACGCCTTAATTTTAAGGTTTTAGATGAAAAATTAACAACTGTCGGAACCAAAATGGTTCAAAGAAAAATCACATAACTTTGCCTTTGAAATAAACTTCAGTTGTGTTTCGATTGGGTTACGTTCGCTACGAAAGACAGAGGTTTTTATTTGTTTCTTTGCTTCTTTTCCGCCTCTGTTTTACTGTTCGATTTGAATTTTTTAAAAAAAATCTTGCCACTTTGTATGGAAAAACAAAATATGGTATTATTAAGCGGTTTGCTGGTGACAAGTTGTACGATAATTGATGCTTTATGTGTTGTAAAGAAAATTCTTGCCATTTTACATATTATTACCGATTTTTAAAAAATTTTAAATTAAAAGCCAAATTTTAAATTTCAAACAAAATTTTCTAAGATTTCGAAATTTTGAGTATGCAATTTTTAATTAAAAGGCCGTTAGCCGAATGGCGTATTAAGTTGGGCCGCGCGCTGAATTTCTCATAAACCGACACTATTTGTGGCACTCTGTTTAATACACAGTTCCACTAATTTTTCGCTTCCGAACCCACTTATAAGGCTTTGGCCTGGAGGGCTTTTAGTGGGCGTTAGTCAAAAAGGGTGGGAGAATTGGAATATGGGATCAATAGTGTCAGTATTATGTTTGTATAGAAAAGTATAAGTAAGGCTAGTTAGACCTAAGTTCACTATTTGCGGCCCAAACCAAAAAAAATTTTGAAAGAAGCTGGACCGGGCTCTAGAAATGGGGAACGGGCCAAGCTGGCCTATTTCTTAGGCCCGGGCCAATCTAAGTTTTGCTAAAAGACTGCCTGGCCTGAGTTTGCAAACGGGCCGGGCTTGATTTTCACGCCCAGATCTAGCATCGGGCCGGGCCCGGCCCGTTCCCATGTCTACCGGGCTTAAGTACCGAAGAAAAGATTGGGCCCCGCAACGAAATATTTAAATTGCGAAAAGTGTAAAGAGAATCTGATGTTATACATGTTTGCAATTGGAGTATTTCGTTGCGGGACCTAAATTAAGAAACTCGGGTTTTGATTTGGGTCCAGACTTGGGGCTCACACTATTCGGCCCAGCCTCTTTCAAATAAAAGAACCGGGACGGTCCGGGCCTAATCGATCCCTTTTCAAGTCCAGTTCAACCCTTTCCTATCTACATCCAAATCCAAAATACAAAGCCCAGAAATACCCGAATTCCAATATTATCCCTCCATTAATACAAATCTAAATTTAAACAATAGTGTACTAAACTCGCGAACGTCATACAAATGTGTAAAAACGTCGGGATAAAAAAGTCATACATTTTGTGTATGAAAAACTAAAATTGAAATGGAAAAAAGTGTTCGTTTACTTTGAACATAATAAGAGCACACAAATATGTCCTTGTTTATGTGTATGTTCTATGGATTTTGGTGTAGCCTGAGCAGGAACTATAGAGGGGGGTGGAACTAGTAGTTGTTGTGGGGAGGGGAAGGGTGGGTTAAAAGGGTGTTGTAAATGAAGGGGAAAAGGGATGGATCCATCTTTCTTCCTCTTCTTACAAAAACTAATAGCATCATCTCTATGAGTAGGGCCAGTCATTGATAAGGTCTCTGGACCAACCTATCTTAAGTTTATGTTAAATTTGCATTATTGTTCATTTTTAAAAAAATTTTAGACATTTCGTATTTTACCCTAAAGTTGTTTTTTTAAACGTTTAGTATCATAAACAATACGTTTTGTCAGTACTAGATCTGAAAGAAAGCCCCCAAGGCTTGGGCTAGCTGGAGCAAAGTTAGAGGCACACTAGACCCAGGTGAAAAGGAAGCTCACTAGGTCCAGTTTTAAAGGAAGTTGACTACGCCAAGGTCGAAAGAAAGCTCACTAAGCCTTATTTAAAAGGAAGCTGACTAGGCCCAAATCCAAAAGAAGCTCACTAGGCTCGGACAGAACAAGTTTGAAATAAGCCGCACTAAAAAATAGGGTTTATTTGCTTTACTGGTCTAGCCAGTACCATGAAACTCCTGTATAACAAACTTCTCTGTACACAGTTTCGTATAACAACAAACATTTTCTAGCTTAAAAATGAAGGTTTAGGCTTAAAACAGACCATTATACTTATAATTCGTCAGTACTAGTCGTATTGTGTTTAAAGCCAACAATAATTAACATAAACTATTCAAACATCCGTATTTTACATTATTTTCTTCTATTTTCATTTTTGTCTTAATTTTTTTCAAAATTTAAAGTCTTAATTTACACTTTCCTGCCGAACACTATGACATGCCTGTGTTGTTGGTGACAATTTTGTTTTTACATGCTTGGATTGTTTTTTCAAATACTAGGTTTTTAGGGACCGTGGACGTTGGTTTGAGGAACGTTAGGTAAATTATTTGCTTGTTTTCGCCAGTCCTAGACGCGTTTTTCCTAATACTATTCGGTTGTTCACATAATTCTGTGCCTCAAACTTCGAAAATTTGCTTCGAGAGGGAGCACATAATGATATGAGCAAGCTTATATCAGCTAGGTTTATTAGACTTACTAGGTAGGCTAGGGCTGTAAGAAAGAAGAGAAAGATCTAGGTCTATGAGGAAGGTCTCCTTCAGAAAAAAAAATTTTTTTTAATTTTTAAATTTTGATTAGCCGTATAGCTATAAGACGAGAGAACAGAGCTTAGAAAGAGATATATAGTACGTTCTCTTTTTTACTCTGTGAGAGTCATTTGCTCTGTCAAAACCAACCCCCCAAAGGCATGAGATAGAGTTTTCTTTTACTGTCTGATGTAAATGTTCTTTAGCGTTCTACTGAAAATGCCATTTCTTCTTTCACTCTCTTTTTTACATAGTAAACTGTGTCGATTCTCTATCTTTACATAGCGAAACTGCTCTAAGTGTCTGTCAAGAATGTCATTTCTTTTCTAACCGCCTGTAAAAACTGCAATTCCTTTCCCTAACATCCTTCCAACAATATCATTCCTTTCCCTAACTTCCTCCCAACAATGCCATTCCTTTCCCTAACCCTCTACCCGGCCAAACACTTATTCGGCCCAAAAAGCGCCGGCGGTGCGAGAAAGCGAGGACCAAAAAGAGAATGTCATCATGCTCTCGGTCACACGCCATTTCTTTTTTGTTCTTCCGATTTTCCACCACTTTCGGGCCTTCAGAAGCAGCAAAAAACGTGTTTTTGTGGCGAAAAAATGCCTTCAGAAGAGCTTTCCGGAGGCATAAAGTGTTTGTTTTTATAATAATTGTGGCTTCAGTTTTTTGTGGGTATATTTTTGAAGTGGTAACACTGATAACAGTATCAGTTTGCTTGATTTTTATGTCTGCACGTTTCTCAGATACATTAAAGTAATTATGAAGACAAACACTTGTTTTTTGATTGGGGACCCTGAGAGAGACAGGTTTTTTAAAAAACAAAACAGTGAGAGAAAAAAAAAAGAAATTCTGTGGGAGAAGCAAAGAAACGCTAACAAACAAACCCAATCAAAAAACAAGTGAGAGTTCTCCCAAAGGCGCGGTTTCGTTGTTTCGCTTTGGATCATTTTGGTTTCAGTGTTTGTCAAAGTGTTCACAATCTATCTTTATTCAAATTTTTCAAATCATTTTAAGTGAAGATGAAAGAAAATAAATGTAGATTCTTAATTTTTTTGAACTGCTTTGCTGCACCGATCCAAAAGGTGTAACTAACAATCTTTTAAACTAATTTTAGAATCGGTTCTAATTAGAACCGCACGAAACGTCCACTAATTAGGTAAGGCAGAGTGGGATAGAATAGAACAGGACTAGAGTGGGTTAACA